CATCAAGATCCAGCAAACTGCCTGTATTGTGAAAGCTGGAAAGTCCTTCAAATTCAAGCTCCATAAACTGGAGATTCAGAGATCGCACTCATTCACCCAGTTTTGGGGATCTTGACAAATCCTCCAAGTTCATATCCCAGACCATCTGACCTAAGGTAGCAGTCTTGTGGATTCGACGAACGTCACGTGACAAACATGATGAAAGAGCGACAAAAGACAAAAAATGTAATTACTATTGATCAGGCGCCTTCTGCGTCAATCGCGTACTCACTTACCTCGGTAATAATATTGCGAACATTTTATGTTTTTCAAAATGCAGAGAAGTGAAGTGGAAAACTTTTAATTCCAGTTTCTTAGATTATTGAAAGCAGCTGTTGGCGGCAAAGTACTACGAATGATACTCTGCACAATGTGCTGCGAAGCCGTTGCCATCCTCCCGCCTAAAAGATCCATGGGCAACAGAACACACAAGCAGAAACGCTCAAGAGACAACCTGGCAATAGCGGGGCTCAGAGCACAGAAAGGCTTGGATGGCATGCAAGCAGCGTGGGCGATCAAAAAATATCGTGACCATCGTGTTCTCCCGCAATCCATTACGGAGGAGTTTGATTGTCATGCACTTCCATCAACACATTAATACACATTCATGCTCTTAATCTACTTTAACTTTGTTGTACCAAATTCTTCACTCTACTTAGCATGCTTCGGCATGAGTTCGGCATACTTTTGAGATACTTATCACCTGGGTTTCCCAACCTTGAAGTAAGTACTATAGTGGTTAGTTACATGCTGTACTGACTATTATTAGGCTTGGTTGCAGTAATACTTAACACCAGCGTTAAATACTGTCCCAAATCACCAAATTCCTTGCCAAGGCTTGAGGCTTTTAGCTGAATTAGGTAAGCTACATAAGCAACGCTTCCCGGCCGCTTCTGCACGTTGCCGAAACATCGTGCTCGCTGTGGGCAACAGTGAGCTCCAGTATAACTTCATTCCAATGCCTTTTCTTGTAGTTTTTTCACTGTACTATATTATAATACACTTAATAACACGGAATTCACATTTTTAACCATAATATGACAAGCAAAATGAGTGTATATAATGTATGAGGGCAACTCAGGTACTATAGCTCCTCCACCTTCATCCAGAGGACCTAGAGCATCACTCCCTGGTCAAAAATGCGAAATAAAGTTACCTGGATGCTGGGGAGGACATGCTGAGGGTGTGAAATGGGGGAAGGAGAGGGCAGGAGGCCGAAGACTACATGGTCCTGGGCATTTATACATTGATTATATATGTCCTATTAACATAAATAAGCAAGGTGTAAGTAAATGGGGGCACCAGGATAAAAAAATGCGGCCAAAACCAAAGGGACTACTGTAGGTGTCACAGAACTTAAGATAATTACTCACCGATAGACAGGGCACCCAAGAAGTGTTCAGGCATTGTATTCTGGCGCCATCATAAGTCATATGAGATACTGTAGTGGCTGAGAAGTTGATTAGCAGGGACATGGCAGGGGGGACAACAGAAAACAGGAAAAATAAAGAGGAGACTTACCAGAGCGTCCAGAGCAAAATACTAGAGCACTAAATGGTATAAGACGTGTATCTAAGTAACTGAAAGTCATTTGAGTGGTAGGGATGAAGAGGAGGACGTGTTAGGACAAAAATCACCAAAAATGCGAAGCATGGAGACTTACCAAGTCAGGGAGGTGCCCAGCATATGTACCAATGGCAGGATTGTCATAATATGACAAGGTGTAACCTATAATGGTAGTAGAATAAGAAAGGGAGAGCTCCGGATAAAGGTAGGGCGAGTTATCAAGAAAAATGTTGGGGAGAGGGGGGATCGTTTACCTTGCCACTAGAGAGGCCCTATAGTGTGTATATTTACCCAGAGGCGTACCGGGAGAGTAGAAAATATTTATAAACATTAGCACAGCAAGTTTGAAGACATACCATTGAGTTGTGGTTGAGTTAGATGGAAAATGGCGGGCAAAGATGTATATGTAGTGAAAATCACTCGTTTTCACTCTAACTCAACCACAACTCACCGGTATGTCTCAAAGCTTGCTGTGCTAATGTTTCTAGGTGTATTCTACATTCCTAAGACACTTCTTGGTCAATATAAATACTTAGGACCTCTCTGGCAACAATGTGAGTCTTTCCCCCCCTCTTCAGCATTTCTTCATAACTCACCCTACTCTTTTCCACAACCATTACCCTTTACTATACTAATTTTTTAGGACACCCTTCGTCATGTTGTGACCTCCATGCCTTTGGTGCACATCCTGGGCACCTCCCTGACTTGATGGATCTCAGGGGTCACATTTTTGGCGATATTTGTTTCTAACCTGCTCTACTCCCCATCCCGGCACTTACAGCTGTTCTCAGTCGCTTAGGTACACGTCAGACACAATATAGGGTATAGGGTACTAGTATATCGCATTGGATGCTCTGGTAAGTCTCCTATTTATTTTTCATGTTTTTGTTGCCTTCCTCCCTGTTCCTCAGGTAATTATTTTCTCGACAATTACAGTGTCTCAAGCGACTCTTATATAACCCACATACACTACCTGAACAACGCTTGGGTTCTCCTTTTACTGGTGAGTAGTCATCTGAAGTTCTGTGTGACCCCTAGTTAGCCCCCTTGCTGTGGTCGCATTTTTGCTACCCTGGAGCCCCCATTGACTTTCCGCTGGCATAAGTATGTTTACAGGACATCTATCAACAATATATTGATGATTTGGTACATGTAGGTTCACTCCTCCCCTCCCCTCCCCTCCCCTCCCTCCCATTTCCCTCTTGGAACGCACCATTCAGCTCCCAGGATATTTTATATCGCATTTTTTACTATATAGGAATGTTTATAAGGTTAATTGATATATTTTCGACCGGGGATAATTGTACTGCGGCCTCTGGATGAGGTGTAGGAACCACCATGTCCCCCTACCCTTCATATACCTCATGTACACTTAGTGTAGACATCCCTTGGTCCAAAAATGCGATAATGACCTCATTTAATGATATATTCAATGGTATAGCAAAAGAAACTACGAAAAAATACATAAAAATGAAGTTATACTGGAGCTCACTGTTGCCCACAGCGAGCATGATGTTTCGGCAACGTGCAGAAGCGGCCGGGAAGCGTTGCTTATGTAGCTTACCTAATTCAGCCAAAAGTCTCAAGCTTTGGCAAGGAATTTGGTGATTTGGGACAGTATTTAACGCTGGTGTTGAGTATTACTGCAACCAAGCCTAATAATAGTCAGTACAGCATGTAACTAACCACTATAGTAAGGCTTACTTGTTGGGAAACCCAGGTGGAACACATATGACACCGCTCAACAGCATCGAAAATCTAAACGTGAATATTTTTGCCTATATTTCCGTCGTCTTCCGGAGATGTAGTTAGAACCGGTCCTTTCTGGGTTTCAACACCGGACCTCTCGCATAAATTACTCTATACTACACTTCCGCTTTTCAGTTTCATAGCAGTGCGATATAGTAAATTGGGAAATGTTCGCGACAACCGTGTGCAGTTATTCAAACGGAGCTTTAAACATGCTTATGATTGAATCTGAGTTTGAATAGAGGTATATATCCACTCTTTTACCTCCCACGCCATCGTCCGCTCCGTCGTGTCCTGAGATATGGGGCCGACAGGACCATACCAGACTTAGGGGAGCGCTTCGGACGTGAAGCCTTTCCTGGGTCGCCTGTGATGTCAAACTTGTTATGCCATCACGCTGTCAGTTGCGCCCTGAGACATGGGGCCAACAGTACCATACCAGACTTAGGGGAGCGCTTCGGACGTGAAGCCTTTCCTGGGTCGCCTGTGATGTCAAACTTGTTATACCATCTCGCTGTCAGTTGCGCCCTGAGACATGGGGCCAACAGGACCATACCAGACTTAGAGGAGCGCTTTGGACGTGAAGCCTTTCCTGGGTCGCCTGTGATGTCAAACTTGTTATATCATCATGCTGTCAGTTGCGCCCTGAGACATGGGGCCAACAGGACCATACCAGACTTAGAGGAGCGCTTTGGATGTGAAGCCTTTCCTGGGTCGCCTGTGATGTCAAACTTGTTATGCCATCACGCTGTCAGTTGCACCCTGAGACATGGGGCCAACAGTACCATACCAGACTTAGGGGAGCGCTTTGGATGTGAAGCCTTTCCTGGGTCGCCTGTGATGTCAAACTTGTTATATCATCATGCTGTCAGTTGCGCCCTGAGACATGGGGCCAACAGGACCATACCAGACTTAGGGGAGCGTTTTGGACGTGAAGCCTTTCCTGGGTCGCCTGTGATGTCGAACTTGTTATACCATCACGCTATCAGCAATCCCATCAAAAACGGGTCCAGAGGGTTACAACATCCTTCTGTCGCATATCCACAATGAACATGACACCCACAGTTTTGACCCCATTCTCACCGTCCAAATGACACAGGAATGTAGCCAGTTCGTAAGGGCGCTGAGGCTGGTTGCAGGCTTTAAACTGCCTTTTGTTGGCCTGTCTAAACAAAAATGCTTTGACTTTGGTTGGTTGTATTCTTTTCCTATAACACGCACTGCGGAAACGAGAAAATAACTCGATCGGGTTGAAGTAGAGTTAGCATCTATATGCGGACTATAACTGGAGGATAGCACAATGACTTAATCCTTCCGGTTATGTGAGGGAAAGGTGAGCCTTTCGGACCGAAACACGAGGCGGGACAGAAGTGATGTGCAAGGGTGGTTTAGTACTTCTAGTAGCTAACCCGACTTGTTAATGATCTGCATAATATGATTCGCGAGTCCGTTTTATGTTCGAATACAAGCTAAGCCAGGTCTGATTAAACTCGAGATAGTAGGCAACAAATGTTCCTGGTGCTTCTAGGGATCCGCGCTGCTCGATGATGGGGTAGCCTGGATACTTTGTTCCCTCATTCCCCTCGTTCCTGCCCCCCATGTATGCAAATCAGACCTCTCAACGACGTCCGAGTGGTGCTCCAGTCAACCCAGGCCAAAGTGCTGCAGGAGTTGAGCAAGATAACCAGCAGCAAATGACAGATGCATACCGCGCTCAATTACACTCCATTCCACATTTGTCCCCGCTCCACGGCGTCGGAAATAGCCCACTGCAGCATGATGATTTGTTCGCAAGCAGTCAGGGATTCCCTACCCCTTCACCAGACCTTGGTCACCTGCAGAGATTTCCTACACCGTCGTCAGACCTCGGTCGCCAGGGATTTCCTACACCATCACCAGATCTTCGTCGCCAAGGGCCGTGTTTGTATGGTGGTGGACAGCAGCAGACACCCGCGCCGCTTAGTATGAGATCTGGCGGCCATAGTTGTTCTCCGGACGACTATCCAGATAGGGTTGTTGCTGATAGTCGTCCGGAGAACAACTATGGCCGCCAGATCTCATACTAAGCGGCGCGGGTGTCTGCTGCTGTCCACCACCATACAAACACGGCCCTTGGCGACGAAGATCTGGTGATGGTGTGGTCCATACCAGCATGGCTCCCATACGCATGATGAACAATTGCAGAATCTTAACGCTATGGTTGCGAAACTTGTCTCGGCGGTAGCGAAGCTGGAAGAGAGCAACCAGCAAACTCTACCGGTTAACACACAACACTCCATTGCTGATGAAGCACTTACCTCGGACGTGAAGACTTTAACCCATCAATTTCTTTTTACACCCTCCGTGTCCTTCGTCTTGACAGCCTGTGCACTCACAGCTTTGGGTGTAGTCAAATTCTGTAAGATGCATGTTAGTTCAAATATAAAATAGACCGAGGGGAGACTTGCATCCGAGAAAGGTTGGACTTTGGTCGCAGCCTCTAGCTCTGGCTCGGACTCTGGTTCCGTCTCGCTATCGTCAACAGGTGCAGGTACTCGTTTGGGTGGATGTCCGATGGTCATTTCAACGGTCTACAGACATATATAAACTTAGTTTAGCTGACCGTACTAGAAAAAAACTTACTATGGGTCCTGGTTCATTGGATTCAGAGGTAAAGGCGAATTTTCGAGTGCCCGAAGGCAGCTGCAGCTGAAGGATGTTATGTGGTTGCAAATGCATGTTGGCTGTGGTCAGGGGCTTAGCGAAAAAACGAGTGTATTCATCTAGAAACGCTTGACGCTAACTCGAACGTCGGGTTGTGTATGAATTGTCTTTCAAGAGGGCGAGTTTGGCTAGAGTTATAGGTGCTAAAACGAGCGTTGGTATTTGGTCTGATTAGACGTGTTTGATCTAACCTGATGGTACGGTTTGGGTCTGTTTAATTGATCTCAAAGGTCCATAACGTTGAAAAATTCGCCAGGTCGAATTTGAGTCTGGAAAAGGTACTTCGTACTTCCTACGTCGGGTTATACGTGGAAAGTCGCTCGGATTAGGGTGGAGTTATTTTCTCGTTTCCGCAGTGACGTTCTTTCCAAGTGACGCCACCAAGTGTGTCCACAACGTCGTTTGCTCACATAATCGTCATGGTTGGCTAACGAGGGCTTCCCGTAATCGCTGGACCAAACACCCACAACTCCTTTCCCATTACTCACGATGATGACGAGTGTCAACGCTTGTCAGTTTCCGACAACTACAACAACAACGAGTTCGGAGGTTCTATGTACTCGCAGGTATGTGGATGCTGTTATGACATCATATAAAAGCCAAACGTGGCATGACAGATAATATTACGTAGTCACGCTGCCACAGTCCACCTCTTTTTCCCCTACACCCATCACCTCATCCAAGAGACCTTTGCTTCGTAATTTCGAGGCAAATTTTTGCATGCGACCATTCTTTCTGACCTCGAGTTATCCCTAACTAAAATTTGGTTCTACATCTCAACAAACTGCTGTCGAACGTCACGCTTGATTTCTCCTGAGTATGGTCGAACGCCAACGTTTGTCCATTCGTCTCAGAAACCGCTATCGAACGTCAACGTTTGATTCCTCCAAGTATGGTCGAACGCCAACGTTTGTCCATACATCTCAGAAACCGCTATCGAACGTCAACGTTTGATTTCTCCCATGCACACTGCGTCTCAACAAACCGCTATCGAACGTCAATGTTTGATTTCTCCTGAGTATGGTCGAACGCCAACGTTTGTCCATACGTCTCAGAAACCGCCATCGGACGTTAACGTTTGATTTCTCCTATGCACACTGCGTCTCAACAAACCGCTATCGAACGTCAACGTTTGTCCATGCATCTTAGAAACCGCCATCGAACGTCGACGTTTGATTTCTCCCAAGTATGGTCGAATGCCAACGTTTGTCCATACATCTCAGAAACCGCTATCGAACGTCAACGTTTGATTTCTCCTATGCACTGTACATCTCAGCAAGTCTCCGTCTAACGCCAACGTTTCAGCTAACCTCCGTCGAACGTCAACGTTTGACTCTCGTGCCCCACGCCGTCCATTCTCTCGTTGTAATCTTGAAGCAGATGTCAAAACGCTCTCTGACTTCTCGGCTCGCATATGCTCACTATTCACACGCGAGTGACATCCTGAGTTTCTTATTTTCTTATTCCACCATCGCTCCAGAAGGAGTAGCGCTAGTTGCGCAGCAGTTCAACCTTATAAGAAAATCCCACCAGATTACACCAACATCAAGAGAGTTCCTCGATGCTCGTACAACAGATCCCTCGTCGTCCACCCTCTCAGTCGACCCTGACTTCAGATTCACCTCCCAGCTATGCTACATGGCAACAAAGAATGAAGCGAGTTGCGCTGCAGCTCTGGCATGTTCACGCCCAGGCCATGATCTTCCAACCTAACCTCCGCCAGAACCTTGTGTTTGGGGATGCGAAACTCATCCCACTCCATCAGCAAATGAAACCTTTATTGAGATCTGTGAAAGTTGCATGGGTCTGCAAACTGATCAATGGACCAACTATGCAATGCCCAGATTGACAGTAAAGTGAGAGCTCGCGGATATCTCAGAAGTTTGCAGCAAAGCGCTTTCCTCTCCCTGGGCAACAATTGCCGCGGAGCGGTCCGCAAAATGCTCCTCTCAAGTCGGCCACAATGGCCGAGGCGGGAGAGGGACAAAAGACTTGTGTCGGTATCTTGACAATCGAAGAAGATTTATATGCCCAAGGGATTGCATAAGGGGCACTAATTAGGCAACGCTGCCAACAGTGCCAAGATTTAAAGTTATGTAAATTTCCAGTTGAACTGTAACCTTCCAAGAAAAGCCAGTCAATCCTGTCAAAGGCGCAGCTTGGGTCTTCGGTTCGCTTCTCTGCCTGCGAGGAGCTAACCCATCAACTTTCTCTGGCGTCCCATCGCCTCAACGAGGTCCTCAAAGCCCTCGACCCAGACGCCTATAAATCCCACTGCGAACTGCGCAATGCCCTTATGGAACGCTACGCCCACGTCCGATCCCGAGCAAGCATCGACCCATCTTCATTCCAAGGCCGTTCGGTTATTTACAACCGACAGACCCCCAATCACGTCGATCGCCGAGACCCCCGCCTTGCGTGGACTCCCCTTTTCACACTTGGATCGTTCAAGGGTGGTAATTTGCGTGTCCGGAAGCTGGGGCTTAGAATGTGGTATGGTCCTGGGGCTTGTGTCTTTATTCGCGGAGCCATGTTCGCTCACGAGATCGAGTCGTTTGATGGAGGTCAACGTATTTCCATTGCTCATTTCTGTCATGACTCCGTTTGGAAGGACGCCGGCGTAGAGTTCATTACTACTGGTGTTTAAATTAGCTTGTATTTAGCATGTTCCAATATATGATGTCCCCAAAGTCACCAACGTCATCAAAGTCATCAAAGTCATCAACGTAGGTCAAAGTCGGTCACCAAAGTCATCAAAGTCATCAACGTCAGTCAAAGTCACCAAAGTCATCAACGTCACCAAAGTCATCAAAGTCATTGTAATGGACATATTTGGAAATACGACTCAAACAACGCAGCGCATTGCGTTCACCTTTTACCTCCATCAAATGTTGTCAACCTACCTACAAGACCTCTCCTTCATAATATCGAAGGAGACGTCCGCATGCAGTCATCCTTCCCTCTCCGCATCGAACAGGAAGCAGCTGTGGTGGAACGGAATGGGTCAGTTTTACTGGACGGACGAAACCCACAACCTTACAAGGATGCTGTTGAACGGTTCGAGAAACTCGACATTGGAGAGATAAACTTGGACTGTTGGAGAGCCGTGTTATTCATTGTGAAAGGTCAAAGTGCTTTCGAGCACGAGCGAAAACTCATCACTCATACAGCTAATGATCTGGCAAGATTGCTGATTGTCGAGCCCAACTTCGAAGATTTCGGCCGTGCAATTCAATACTAGCAGTAGCTACCCAACACATTGCAGTATCGCGCACTCAGTCGTTGTGTATCGCGCAATTTATTAAAGTGGGCTTTGGACCGTCATACGCCTGAACTAGCTGACAGATAAAGCAATCAAATGTCCGTTGATATAGCCTCAAAGTCGTGAGTGCTCCGCTGAAGTGCCCCAAGTGAGCATCAGGATCAATCGTTTATCCTAATTTATTGCGAGCATAACTGATCATGATAAGTGGGTATCCAAATGTATGTAGTGTGGTGCATAATCAGAGCCAAGCGATGAAACGCCAGTCACCAAGCGGAACATACAATCACCGGCTTCAGCCATAAGAGTGGCTTGAGTCCAAGTCCGGGTTCAACCTCTGTCTCTTCCCAGTTGGAGTAACTAGTACCCGGGAGGGGTGCTGTGACTTTGTGAAGAATTCCTGTGGCTTGCGCTTTTCATCGTCAACGAGAGGTTGCAGTTTGGGAACCTCATGAGGAAGCCAAGCATCTAATGCGAGGTAGTCATTGTAAATAGCGATGATCTTGGAATGTGACCTCAAAGTCTCCATGGCTGCCTGCTTCTTGTAAGCAGTATTTGCGTTCAAGTTCATGAGGAGAATTTCATGAGTAGGAGTCCCAATTGTGGACTCCAGGCACGGGAATGTTTTGTCGAATACAGCCTGATCCTCATCGGTGGTCAAAATGTACCGAAGAGCGAAGAGTTCAGCAAGTGCAAGGACAAGCTTGTCAAGCGCTTTGCGCCCAACAAACACATCACCGGCGATTTGCCGTCTCGAGATGAGAAAAGCCGATTTTGAGTTGGATCCGATCCCGTCCATCTCCTCAGCCTCGAAGACCTGCTTCATGAGTAGCGACCGAGTGGGGGTGTCCATATAACTCTCTGTGTACATCAAAGCGATCCATAAAACGACGTAAAAACTGGACTCGAGGTCATCCTCGACGGTATGCATGGCATATTTGTGTTCGACAAGGTTGGCAGACATGAATTGCCAGGTTCCCTTGGTGACAGGAAATTTAGCACAAAATATGAATATTGAGTATGGAATAAACGTACCGTGCGTGTGATTTGTCGAGGACCCTGAATTCTGAGTAACTTTGCAAGATCCCAATCTATGAGGATGCCAATGGCGTCATGCATGACCACATTTCCAACACTGAGGTCTCGATGTAACACGCCCGCCTTGATACATGCGTCCTCATGGGCTGTGGAGATATAAATATAATGTGTGATGCGAGTTCCAAAACACGTACCAATCAGTGAATCACGAACAGCTTGGACAACTTCACGAGAGCTCGTAAAGTGTATCAACGGCTTGCCAACAAGATTGAGAACCAGACGGTAATGAATATGTGGAGTGAGATCGTCATGGGAACACGCCCATGAAGCCTTCCTGAACTTGAAAGTTTGCGTGCGTTGCTGAGGGAGAGATGGTACATCATGACATGCAATGCATGTCGCGACATTGCGAACGTTGGCATCCTTCAAGAGTTTGTAAGTTTCACCCTCTGGTAGTATATCGGGCAATGACACCCGCCAAGAGTCCTTGAACATGACGATCTTGTCGTTGGCAAGGTCAAATGCAGGACATGTACGTGTCCTACGGCCAACAGGCGAAAGACCACGGGCAACAGGTGCAGGAATAATCAACGTGAATGAACCAACACCCTCAGCAGCAGGGATGGTAACCTTGAACATGCGCGTGTCAGCATGAAGGTTTAACTTCAACTGTGCGCAAATGGCCTCCTCGGCGCTAGCGGGCGTCACTGATGTATCAACGCCACGCAATGCAGGCGATGCTTGTGAAAAACGATGGAAAAAGTCGGCTAAGTGTGGATATTTGTTGTAATTGAAGGCACGAGTAACAATGGCTCCCTCCCTGTCCCATCTGATGATGCGAGCGAGATTGCGCACAATCAGGACCGAGAAAGCGTGGGTACGGTATTGAGCGCCAAGCTGGGCTGCGGCGTAGCTCGTGATTTGTCCTAACGTGTCCATGCCCTTCATGGTCTGGTTGATAAAGGAGGATTTGTCCTTCGAGTCGAGAGGAGGGTCGCAAAAGGCATCATGAACGGCAGCCCACTTCAATTCGACGAGAACTTCTGCGATAGAAACATCGCAGCCGTGGGATGTTCCATCAGCATATATGCTGATGTCCGGCTTGACAGCGAATGAGAATGCTTGAGAAAGCTTTGTGTCTGCATGATTGGAAGTGTCGACGAATGATAAAGCGGGGGCAAAGGATTTCAAAGTGCCAATCTGTAACATTGAAGTTAGACTGTCAGCGATCCCAATATGGTAGTTATGGAGCGCTCACAAATGGTTCATAAGCCAGCACCTCATCTTTGACAGAGATTGTGCTATCAAATATGCCACTCTTGAAGGTTAACGCGGGGAGATCTGGTATCTCTGAAGTCGGTAGGAACTGCTCAAGAAATTCCTGGACTGGCATTGGGCCAACGCAATAATTTTTCATCTCTGCGCCCATAGCATTGACTGTGAGATGCCGGCAACGCGCATTGGTTGTCCAGGGGAACTTTGTGGAACTACCCTGTTTGAAAGGAGTGTCGGTGATTGCAGGAGTAAGCTGGGTGTTTTGTAAGTCCTTGGCGGGAGACTGTGGGGGTGTCTGAAACATGCTCGGTTGTGCAGTGGTACTAGTCTCGTCGATAAGCACCTCCAGTGCATGAGACCCGTTTATAATATTCGTAAATCGTAAATATAGTATTACAATGTATCTTGGTGATCTATGAAATAATGATGACGGCAAATTCCGGCGGCAAACCCCGTACACTGGGATGACGATGGTGGAGAAAGAAACAGAAATTGGCGGTTTGAAGCATTAAATAGTGAATAGAACTCAGCCGGGTATTCCCGAAATCCGCAACCAGCGGTGGTCCTCAGGCGGTCTGCAGTACACGTTTGGCTCTGTCTGTGTATGGATGATGTTGTGGAAGAATGACGTTGTAGGGAGAAGAATGACATTCCACATTGTATTAATAAGGTTTTAAATGATTTATATGAGTGCTGCAAGTATAGATCAGATCATTCAAGCAGACCGTCAAAAGCATGTACTTGCGTTACTCCGGATGACAACAAAGTGCGACAAAGTATCCCAATGAGATTGAGAAACAGTAGTAACTCTCGGACTGGGACATACCTATAAATATTCTCATGCAGATTGATCATGAGTGCAACCTAGGCTATGGCGCAATATGGCCTAAAAATGGATCAATGAAGATCAGCGTCTTTCCCATGGTATGTTTTTGGCTCCTATGTGTCTATATAGCATGAACCATCACGCTTGAGCCATCGTACATTGATAGTAACATCCAATCATAAGTCAAGAGCAACTACGAATGTGTCAGGGGTACATAGATGGTGGAAGAAAAGAAAAGACGTTAACAGTGAGCATAGATGTTTGAACCATTTTCTCGATATCCCTCCCTGTACGACTCCAATACGAGTTTACCTTAATTAGGATAGTCCTGTATACATGTGGACGTAGCAAAATACAACACGAACACTTGCATTAAACGAGCCGACGCACCAAAACAACACGATGAAGAAACAACATCGACACGAAAGCAACAATCGCAACAAGAACCATGATAGCAGCGCTAATGATGCGGCAGTAATGATGGAAAAAACACAGGCAACTACTACATAGGATCATGTCAATATCTCGTCCGATGTCCCTACTACGTCGATGCCCATAACCTAACTAACTAACCTTTGGGCGAGGCGATAGCGTAGGCTTTCGCCTGTAGACAGATGTCAGTGTAAAATGCAGTTGGCGTCCATGCACGATGTACTCACTGTCTTCACAAGCGCAACCCTATCTTGATATTCTTCTTCTCCTCCCTGTGGAGTTTCCTCCAGTAGTTCTTGAATGCAGCGTTGGTACCGCACATTGATTAATATGAACCCACCGAAAAAAAAACTTACGCCGACAAGCAAAATGTCGTTATACTAGTAGAGCATCTTGTAACCAGGTGTCTCGAGACCTCACTTTAAGTTATTCTCAACCATCATATGCTTCTAGCCGATTCAAGATGTTGAAATCGAGCTCACGAGTCGGGGCGTGCGCATATATCCAATCTATGACCAAACTTTAACTACGGTACAGACATAAAATAATCATAACCCATTGTACCACGCCATAGTGGGTTTTCACTGGGACTCACTTCAGGGACTCACTTCCGGGACTCACTTCCGGGACTCACTTCAGGGACTCACTTCCGGGACTCACTTCAGGGACTCACTTCAGGGACTCACTTTTCAGACTTCAAGGCCACACTTTCGGGACTCGCTTCTATATTTAATTCATTTTGAGCCTCACATTATCTCCTATCACATTTTATCGGTCCACACAATTCTAAATGTCCACAGATGGTGGTCTACGCGCAAGTTAAGCTATTGTATTATGACATCCTCGTTCCGCTACAAATTCATTTATGTTCCTGCGTTATCTCTCAACTCCTCACCATTCGCATCTCAACTGTGTAATTTCATTGTTGACCTGCCATGGCTCGCAACCTCAAACACCCTGATCTGGCCGGCATACCACCTTCGAAAGAGAAGCAAAGGGAGTTTCAAAAGCGATGGCGCCAAGAAGTAATGAACGACCCGGAGAAGCGAGACCGACAGCGCCAACTCAACGCAGAAAACAAACGGAAACAGCGCGCACGAGCCAAGGAAAATGCACAGGATGACATCGAAGGACAGCCTGCTGCCAAGCGGCGCCGCAATGCAGTAACCACGGACTCTGCTGCAGGACCTTCCAACCTCCCGGAACCCTCCCTTTCTCCCGACGCTCAACCTGTTCTGATCCCCATAGATCCAAAGCTCTTATCACAACAATCTCTAAATGTCGAGGGGACCACAGAAATTCCCCGTACTCGCGAAGTCATGGTGACGACCGAAACCCATCACACGCAAGATGCATCTGTCATGACCGAAGCTCCCTCCCCCATCTTGTCGACGCTCGCTGAGCAGAACATGGACTTGGCAGCTGGGCTCATCGGATTTCAAGTGCCTGAACAATCGCAGACAATTACATGGGCTAACGGATGCACTACGGTCCTGCCATGTGTTTGGGAGGACGGGAAAAATAAATGCGAACCCAACGATGTCGACATAGTGAGATACCTAGCTCAGCTTCCCGAATCAACTCCCGATTCGGAGCACATCATCCATCTAAGGTCATCTGACTGGTGCTCGCGCCCAAAAGAACTACGTGAACGCGTCTGCGCAGGACTCCGCGCAGGAAAAGGTGTCGTCATTCGTGCAGATGGTAATACTCAAGCGCAGGCACTCACTGCCGAAAGGCTCGACGAAGAGTTTGGTATATCACCTCAGATGAGTGTGATTGCACACGGTAAGCTAACGCGCTTTTTTACACTTCCCCAAATTTTACCCAACCACTTCCGATAGACCTCCGAAAACGGACAGAGACATATGACCGTCCATTCGTGAGCTGTACAATCGAACAGTTCTTCGACGCCTTAAACGACCCATCTAAGATTCAGTGCGTGCTTGATCTACCACATCTCCAGGGTGCTCTACCGCAAGAACTCAAGTGAGGCTCCATTTCTTCATACTCAATCACAATACTTATTCCTCAGACTTGTCGACCACGGCACCGTCCATGCGTGGAGCCAAACCCTAACTGACTCCCGCGTTCGTGACCAAACTTACCATCCCGACATTTTCTTCTCACTTTCATGGGCTTTACTTCACCAACCCGGGTTCCCAACGCCCATACATCATGATGCTGACGGGTATCTAACGTATCTCGAAATGATAGAAGGCGACAAACTTTGGGCCCCCCATTGGCCAAAGGACCCCAACGTTTTGCGTACCAACCTCCTAAAACTATCCATGCTGTTAACGAACGTCTCACTCAATCGCAAGGAGATAGAATCCAATTGGTATTCCGAAGTAGTAAGGCTCTCCAAAGGGGATCTTTTGTAAGTTCACATTCCTATCGCTTTTGTTTATCCTTAGCTCACATTTGCAAGCTTTCAACCACCTGGACTGTACCACGCAGTTTACACACCAGTACCATCTTTTGCAACCGGCGGTCATTTCTACAACTACGAGTGCATGCATTTGACCGAGCTGTCGCGTTATGTCGATGTAAAAGAAGGAATTTTCTTAACCAACCAAGTCCATGAGCACACCATTGAAACGCTGCAACGGCTAGTCATCAATTTGCCCCGACTATCCCCCAGCGTTAGTAAGTGATATACATGTCCACGACGAACGTCTCTAACGTCATCACAAGAGTTATACCACAGGTCGCTTATGGCCCTGTGTATAATGATCATAAAGCGGGAAAAATATGTTGCAGCTGGAAACGATCAACGCACTACGATCTTGAAAACAGGCAGCACCCCCAGAGCGCTCGCCATCGCCACAACCATCATTAAGCATTTCCACAAAAACATCAAATCGGCAGTTAGGGAGTATTATAAAGGAGACCAAACGGATGCAGGAGACCTCGTCGATAGAGCAGAACTTCTTACTTGCTTACAACAGTTTACCCCACTAACTGAGGTCTAATAGATTACCTGTAATGTACCTGATGTCACCGTTATATTAACTAAGGTCACTTCTAATGTACGCTCTGTATTGAAAAGCCATATACTATTGTAAGATCTGAGGACCTCATTTTCATGTCTCACTGAACACTGTACATTAAGACAACTAAATTATATGCAACTGTAGCCACGTGTGTCGCGGGAGAGCTCCAGTTTGCCGAAGAACAAAGAGTGTTCAAATGATGCAGCCAGCTAATACCCACTACTTACGAAGCGGGAATACCCCTGGATTAATTTTTTTTAAAAAAAAAAGGTTTGCTGACAAATCAATATGCGATAAGCCATCTCACCCTTTTTCACCAATACATGTAATTTACCATGCCAAGGTTCAGATATGACTTGGAAGGCCTCACCCCAGAGCAGCAGGATGCTGAACGCAAACGACTATGGCTTGTCAGACAGATGCAGGATCCTGAGAAAGCGGAGAAGATCAGGGCTCGGAATCGAGAGAGCAAACGAGCTCAACGCCAGCGTACAAAACAGTCGAGAGAAAATACCAACCCTGGTGCAGAACCCCCGAGGTTTCGCAGACAACGAGCACCCGAGCCCGCCGAGGCTTCGTCTTCCCAACCCACCCCTCCTAATTCTTTTGACCCTAACCTGATACATCCTGCACTCCAGAACCCTGCACACTTCGTACCGCCTCGTCAAATGTCAGAAGCAGCGGTAATGACTGACCCACACCCATCCTATCCTCCGCGTCAGACCATCAACCGCAATTTAGATCTGGCGTCTGACATTCTTGGCATTCAGGTTCCGCAACAATCGAAGACCATCACTTGGGCTGACGGATGCAAGACGGTACTACCCTGTGTGATGAACAGAGGTGTCAACATATGCGAAGAAAACGATGCCGCTTTCGTTCGGTTTCTTTCTATCTTTCCAGAATCTAAACCGTCGTCAACGCACGTCGTACACATCAACAATAATCGCTTTAACAGGGATCAATTGCAGCAACTCGTCAGCATAGCTCTTCGTCACGACAGACCCGCTGTCATTCGAGGCACCTGTAGTCATGTGCTGGAAGAAATCGATGCAGAGTACCTAGAGAAACATTTTGGGATATCGCCCCTGATGCGCGTCACTATACACGGTCAGTCCGTTCATTTAGTCTAGCATGCAACTGAAGCTTCGGAGCAGACGTCGCAGAGCGAATACGGGATTTCTCCCACCCCCACCTAAACGGCACTATCCAACAATTCGTCGAAGCAATCGACGATCCCTCCAAGATCCAATGTATCCTAGATATACCCCTGTCCCACTTTGGTATCCCGCAAGACTTCCAGTTAGTCCAGCTTACACGTTCATAAATTAACCTAACCTTCAACTTCTAGGCTTCTAGATCACGGCCTTGTATATGGCTGGAACCAGACGACAGTCGACTGTCCTATCAGCAGCGGAAAAGTCCACCCCGACAACTTCACTGTCAAATCTTGGGCTTTACTTCACCAAGGGGGCTTCGTGACCTATCCTCATCACAATTCAGATGGTGCAATAACGGTTCTCCGAGTTGAAGCAGGCGCCAAGCTCTGGATCGTCTTCCGTACTAAAAAGAAACTCAACCGAACAGCCCTTCAGAAGGCCCAGATGCTGTTCGCTAATTTCGCACAAAATCGGGACGCAATAATGGAGATTTGGGAAGCAGAGGTGATAAGGCTCTTACCCGGCGACCTACTGTAAGCGTCTAATCCAAATCGTCGTTTTTTTTCTCACACCTTCAAGTTTCCAACCTGCGGGTCAAGTTCACGCCGTTTATACCCCCGTGCCCTCGTTTGCCACGGGCGGACATTTCTATAATTACGAATCTCTACATCTAACCGAGCTATCTCGCTACATAGATGCACGCAAGGCCCAGTTCCTCACCAATCAGGTACACGACAACACTCTGGAAACTTTCCACAGGATGACGTTAGCCCTTCCCCGACTCTCGCCCAGTGTCAGTAAGTCTTTTTGATCGATTTTATCGACGTTGTTGTTTGTTGTTAAAGCGATCGGAAGGATTATATCACAGAGCCGTCATCGGTCTATGTCTCATGATCGTCAATCGAGACAAGCACAAGGCATCAAACAACGACTCTGGCTACCAAATCGTGGCGTCAGAGAGCACCGGTAGAGCCCTAACGATCGCCAAAACGATCATCAACCACTTCTACAACAATACAGAAGCAGCACAGCGCGCTTACCGTAGTGGCGATCAAAGTGACGCGGGTGAGCTGGTCTCCAGAGAGGAACTCTCATCCTGTCTTCAGTCATTTACACATCTCTGACGACACCACTACGCTACCATTTAACCTTATACACTACACTACTTCAAACCAATTATCATATATCCCGAAGTTAATTTAATTCTCCAACTCCCACCTCAGTACAACTTCACGACTCATTCTAGAAACGAAGAAGTAGAACTCAGCCCTAGTTTGAACCAATCTCACCACGACAGATGTAACGAGAAGGCAACGGATCATATACACACAATGTAAAATAGATACGTACGAATGATGTTTCGTGATATGGGAGTGTCATTTTTGGACTCCTCATTTCGTTAAGTTAGTTTTCCAGTACCCTCTCACTATCGAATTAAACGAATTGCACACATTAATCGATGGAAGGCTGACGAAGCAAACACCTTACAGCTGATCAACCGGTCATGGAATAGTGAAAATCAATCACCCGTTGCTGCTAGTTTGTAGTACCTGAATAACTAACAATTGTCATTCAAGTATTTTCGCGCTAAGTCCACGGATTCATAACCTACCTACTTTTTAATATGAGCTTATGACTCAGTGGCAAGACCGAGCGAAATGTTTGGTTTAGCAGAGAGGTGGCATGAAGTTCGAGCGTCTGGTTGTGCAACTTTTTCATTTTCATGGTTTTTCTTAAATGCCACCGTATGATTGTATTCAAAAAAACGTTCTACTAAGAGGTGTAAACTACAAGCTAAGAGGGTGCAGGGCCTGGCAGGATGCCTGGTATAATCCTCATTTCGGAGGGTGGTGAATATGGGTTATTGGAATCTGCTCAAGTGCACCTGCTACAATTAGTGGCTTGTTCCCATACCTGGTGATTCGAACTACGGCGGCTGGTGGGAGAAACTCCGTGAACGGGTCATATCTGAAGATCTGACGGGTGAAATTCACCTCGTCTGAGGTTCACAGTGGCTAGTCACTTTACCGACTTCACTGACTTCACTGACTTCACTGACTGACTTCACTGACTTCACTGACTTCACTGACTTCACTGACTTCACTGCACTGACTTCACTGACTTCACTGACTTCACTGACTTCACTGACTGACTTCACTGACTTCGACTGACTTCACTGACTTCACTGACTGACTTCACTGACTTCACTGACTTCACTGACTTCACTGACTGACTTCACTGACTTCACTGACTTCACTGACTGACTTCACTGACTTCGCTGACTTCACTGACTTCACTGACTGACTTCACTGACTTCACTGACTTCACTGACTGACTTCACTGACTTCGCTGACTTCACTGACTTCCTACTGACTCCTGACTTCGCTGACTTCACTGACTGACTTCACTGACTTCGCTGACTTCACTGACCTCACTGACTTCGCTGACTTCACTGACTTCACTAGTACTGACTTCCCTGACTCCGCTGACTTGACCGAATTATTTCATTAAAGTTCCCACACTTTCGATCAATCTTGTGAATTAGTCAGGTTCGATCATTTCATTTCAGTGCTTTCCTACTAGGGGCGCCGATCAGCAAATGCGACTTTGTTCGAAAAGTGCTTTTGAGCGGTTTGCTTTTGCTTTAGTTTGGGTTTGCGTTCGTAAGCATACATTTTTGGTTATGTGTTCAGCATCTCCACCATAGCCAGTAATTCTGGCTAGTCGTCCGACATCGAATGCCAACCTAAACTTATCACTGCACTACTAGACCTCTAGCCAGTAATTCTGGCTAGCCCGTTCTCTCACCTCCCGCAACACTCGCACGTACACACCCACGCATGCATGCCAAAGACTGTTCTGCCAAGAACACGCCCACCAACCGTCCCGTATTCACCATTCAAATTTCGTCCAGCACGAAGAAGAGCAGCAAGAGGCGCCGTGCGTCTGCAGCAGGGGTGAAGAGTCCCAGCTCGGAGATGAGGTCTGAATGATGAATTGAATTGCGATGCTTGTGGGTTGTATTGTAAATTGGTGAGTTTCTTTTTGGGTTTGAGTTTGGGAGTCACTGACTGGTTCTTGTTTTAGGTTACCGTCCATCAAGGATGCGGACTGTATACACTTGGTTCCTCATATCTATCATGGTCGAGGAGAGATTATTCCAAGAGCACTATCATGGGTTAGTGGATCATTGATTTGAACTACGGGTCATGTGACTATATTCCGGGTAATTTGAGCAAAACTTTCGTTCCTCTGTAACATCCTAACCCTAACCTAGGACTATATTAGGCAATGAAGACTACGATATGGTAAACTCTGCTAGGCAGGACATCAGTTCGTCTCGATCGATGGCATCTCCAGGGTGCATTTGACTCCCTTCGCGATATTTTTTGGTTGACAACTTGAGGTTGGTCCAGAAATGTGTGACGATCGCATTTGACATCGCAAAGGCTTGTTTGGCAGTTTCCAACTTCTGCCGTTTTCTCTTGCCAGTCCCAGCAGCCACATACTTTTCCGACTCCATGACCATGGTGCACAGAGCGATGAGAGACCTGCTGTATATTGCTTTTGGAGATGTCAGATGCTGCAAATATGGGGCGATGAGAACCACCACTTACTGACGCGGCGGGGTAGGTACGGCAGGTTTATAATCATTCGCTCAAACGTGGCGATTGAGTGTTCGTGAATCTGGTTAGTGAAGGTGGGTCCCTTGTAGTGGTCGATGTAACGGGAAAGTTCCGTCAAATGCATGTACTGATGATTGTAGAAATGACCGCCGGTAGCAAACGTCGCGACAGGTGTATAGACCGCGTGGAACTGTCCAGGAGGTTGAATACTTGCAAAAGTAAGCTTAAACGAACGAAATGTACGGGGAGATGACTCACAGGAGATCTCCTGGCAAGAGAGTGACTGTTTCGAAATCCCAATTGGATTCGATCTGCTCGCGGTTGTTCCCAAGGTCGGTGAAGAGTTCGGCAATTGTACTGAGCGTTGTCCGGGGAATCTTGTGTCCATATTTTGGGAAAGCCACACACCAAAATTTTGTGCCGTTAAAGTTATCTATCGTGACATGAGTGGCTGCCCCGTCAGCGTCGTGGTGAAAATATGTGAGGACCCCGGCGTGGTGAAGTAAAGCCCACCCCGTCACAAAGAAGTTGTCGGGATGGACTGGTTCTTGCGCGGCAGTTACAGTTAGATTCCATGCGGCCCTGCCATGATCGATGGTGCTAGGTTAGGTTAGGTTAGAGCGATGAAGGGAGAGGACGGTGGGGTACTCACCTGAGGGAGAATGGGAGACCCCCCTGTAAAAATGGAAGGTCGAGAACAAATCGTATCTTGTTAGGGTCGCGGATGTCGCGGATGAACTGTTGGACAGTGCTTGTCATTTGCGGATATGTGAAGTCTGCTACGCGCGTTTTGACATCTGTTGAAAAGTATAAGGCTTTCTGGGAAGCAATGCAAAAGCAAACGGACTTACCGTGTGCAACGATAGGCCTTGTAGACGATATACCGTAACGTTCTAGGTAGTCGAGATCCAGCGCGGCTGGCTCAGGTTTATGGCGCCCGCGAAGAAGAAAGACTTTTCCATCGCGAAGGGCCTCGTTAACGAGTTCGCATAACTCCATCGGTTTCGAACTCCAATCACGGTAATGTGCGTGGACAACGTGCGCTGAACCAGGACAGGATTCCGGAAGCTGGGCAAGGAATTTGACGAACTCGGCATCGTTGTGGCATATATTTACACCGCCCTCCCAAATACATGGCAGTACCGTGGTACGCCCATCAGACCATTGAATGGTCTCCGACTGTTCGGGCACCTCAATCCCAATGATATCAGATGCCAAGTCCATGTCGAGGTTAGTGAGGGTCGACAAAGCTGGCGAGGGAGGTGCAGGTGCAGGTGCAGGTTCGGTCATGACGGATACGTCACACGTGTGTGGGGTTTCGGTCGTCACCATGATATCGCGAGTACTTGGATGTACCGTCGCCGTGGCAGCATCGCATGCGCGGCGGGTGGTGACCTCGGTATTGTTGGGTGGCTGCGGTAAGAGTGCGGGATCGATAGGGATAGAAACAAATGGCTGGTGAGAGGAGGTGGAGGGCTCGGTAATATCTGGGGCATTGAACGGCTCCGCGATGTTGGAAGGTCCCGCTGCAGAGTTTGTAGTTGCTGCAGTACGGCGCCGCTTTCGAGAAGGCTGTCCTTCCGTTTCTTGCTGTTCCGTGTCCATTTTCCGTGCGCGCGATCTCTGTTTACTTAGTCTATTGAGTTCCCGTCGTCTGGCCTTTTTCTCGGGGTCGGCGTTTATCGCCTGGTGCCATTTGCGCTGTTGTTCTTTGTGCTTCTCATCGGGGGGTAGATGTGCCAGTTCAGGGTATTTCAATGGTTGCGGCATGGTATGTCAACGGAGAAATTACGCCGTTGAGATATCGAGTGCGTTAGATTAGTGAACGTGAACATGACGGTTAGGTACTTAAGTAACCTCGAATTACATAAGTGGATCTTACAGTGTGGGCCACCACTTACGTTAGGGTTGTGATTTGGAGGGTCCAACAATGTGTTATAGGAGATAAAGTAGGTCAGCAAAGTACTTAGTATAAATAATATTGGTATTAGGACGTTCTTATGGATGTACGATTGACCTGCATGTAAGGCCGTTAGCTTACGTGAGTTCCTATAATCAGCATAAACACTGTCCACAATAACGAAGCATGTGCATGAGCTTTCATTATGACTGCCTTTGGGCGTAGCGGTTAAGGGACGACAGTCTTGACTACTTACACTTGTTTTATTTTATTTTCAAGAACACGCCTCTGATTCTGATTACTCGAAGAATGATAACTAGTTGTGGAATAAAAAGAGGATTCGGGTGCAAAGCGCTTCGATTGCGACCCCTACAGCAACGATAGCTTTTGAGTTCGATAGAAAAGAACAAAAAGACACCACTATGACCGTCTTCTATTACATGCAATGCAAAAATGATATCCTGTGCCTCCTTCAGATTGACTGTGAAGAAAGAGAACGAGAGAGAAAGAGATGGATCACATGCACTAAATGAAATGATGAATTACTTTGATGACTTTGATGACCGACTTTGATGGCTTTGATGACAAACTTTGATGACTTTGATGAATTACTTTGATGACTTTGATGACCGACTTTGATGGCTTTGATGACAAACTTTGATGACTTCGATGACCGACTTTGACCTACGTTGATGACTTTGATGACTGACTTTGAATGGAACGCCCTGGCACGCTCGCATCGTCTATATGTTCTGAATAATGTATGCACATCCCTGTATATAATTAACTAAGACTGTGACTTCTTTCTCGTGAAAGTTGAGAATACGCGGTGCTATCGCATGGCCAGACTTTACATGATGATTGAAGAAAATGCTATGGACAAATAGTATTACAATGCGCTGTTCTGCAGAAAATCGATGCATTCTTTTTCGACAGCACCGATAAATTTCCTCGTCGGGTTCTTGTAGTAACTCATCTCGCTCTTCCATTGTTTAGCGCCCCTCAACTCGGCTCGCCCTTCGCGTATGGCTTTGAGCCTCGACTGAAACACGTTTTCAGCGGAATGGTTCCAGTACCCAACGTCCAAACCAGACGACGACCATTGTTTTGGGGTAGGCCACCATGATGATATTGCCGTCTGATTGCCTCTGCCTGTTAAGAACAAACTAGTAAGAAAATGACGTTGAACGTGTAAATAAAAACTGACCGGTAGCAATGTGATAGACACCGCAGAGAATGTTGATCTCGTCGTCGCTCAGAGTATCGGAGAGATACCGTTTAGGTGCATCGGGAGATGTATCTGCGAAAAACTGTACGTCTTTGGAGGGGCCGTTTGGTATATCGCTAGCAAGCTCCTGTTTGCAGAGACGCCAGAGTATGCCACCTTGAGCGACAGCGACGCGTACGTGAGGCAGGTTTAGCAATCGACCTCTTCGATTTTCGTAGTCTGCATACTCGTATTTGTCCGGCAACCACCCGTGCGGACGGAGGATCGACTCAAAGACGGTTCTGGGACGAGCAAATGAGGGATGCGCGACTTGGGCATTGAAAACGAGTGTAAAATTGATGCCACGTTCAAATAAGGAGAGGACGACGTCCTCTAGAGATGGGCCCCATCGTTCTCTGATACCTTGGACGACGGACACCGCGCTGTGAATGAGGAGGTCCCATGGTCGATTGTATCTTTCATCTTGTGGGTGTAGGAGGTAACCGGTGCGAGCGTTATCTTGAACGAATGTGTACTTGAAACGCACATTGGATTCGACGAGTTCGTCGATGTTGTTCGGATGCAGATCCCACAAGATGGAGGGAGGGGTGATGTCAAGCAAGAAGCAGGAGATGAAGTATCGAATGGCGAATTCGTTTTTGGGTTGCGTGAGGGGGAGGTTCATTTCCATGAGGTATTTACGAACGGTGTAGATCTCGCTGAATTGGGCATCCTGGATGGCCGTATAGTCGCTTTGGGACTGTATTTCTGTCTGCGAACAGCACACAAGTCCGTAGCGACTGCTTAGGACGTCTTCCAGTGAAGAAGCGAACAAAATGTCCTGGGAAATCTCGCGATTATAGAGAATGGATCTTCCGACCTCGTTGTGGTCAGATGGAAGAGTAGGGGGTGTCTTTATCTCGGAATGAGCGACGGTTACATCCGAGACGCCAGAGTCGTTTGTATTTGGTTCGTCGAATTCGAAACCAGGGTCGCCGTCCAGTGCGTCGACATCGCATTCGAAGAGGGAGCATATATCCCATTCGTTGGAGATCTCGTCGTATACAAACTGCTCCTTGGGTCTGGTCTCAAATTCCGTCTTGGCGTCTTCACAATCGAGCTCTCCCCGGAACCTCCCCTTCTTCGAACGATACCAAAGGAAAAACCGAGTTCCGTCTCGCCGCGAGGGTAGGACGAACTTTGCAGCATTTTGAAGTCGCTCTCGGACACGGGCTTTGATGTTGTCAGACGCAGTAGAGAGGAACTCTACGCGCTTTTTTTCCCGAACCTCTACAAGCGCAGTCCATCGATCCAAAGAGTCGGGATTGGTGTCAGATGGGATGGACGGAATTGCTTGAGAGTTAGCCTTGTCGATTGCTGTTCTGATGCGTATGAATTCGTCTTTTGTAGGCGACGCTTGTATGAACTGGTAGTTTTTGAAGGTAGCGGGGTTGTAAGGACCTTGCGCTTTGCCGACTATCACCCAGACCGGGACTTGTATACGATTGAGCCAGGGGTATAAAACGCCCATTTCACAGTGGGGTGGGTCGAAAATGACGCCGACGCAACGCCCGAGGATCTCCGGCTGTAGTGCACTGATGATGTCACGAACGTGAGCATCGCTAAGCCCATATTGAAGCAATAGGTCTGACGGCGAAGGCGCGGGCGCTTCTGCATTCTTTGGTGCAGTGTCACACCTCCATAGAACCCGACCGTAAAACAGGTTGACTAGACCGAGGAGGGAGTGAAAGGCCAGTCTTGAAGTCTTTGCACAACGCAAAGCATGACGATGCGTCTTGTGATCGCGAAGGTATCCGTATTGAGAAGGATAAGGGAGGATGGCGAAACTGAAGGGTAGAATAACGTTTGCACTGAGAGCAGTGAAAGCGTGATGGAGCGTGTCCTCAAGCCATTGCCAGCTCTTCTTTTGTTCGTCAGACATGGTGTATTTAGTTCCACGGGTAACTATACGAATTGAAGCAAGACGCTGGAGGAGAGGGCCTGTATACTTGAGCTCCATGTCGTCCGGTGTAGCCGCGATCTGGGTGTATCGAGACAAGTTGAGTCTCAGATGAAATATTTCTTCGGGACCGGGGTCATCGTATGTGATGTCCTGGCGGACATCTGCAAAGGACGGACACGACGTCTGCGTTGACGAAGAGAGTATGCAGTCAGCATCCCGGGAGTACGTGAAATATCGATTGTTTTGGGATGACCTGCAGTAAATGTGAGGGTGATTAGGGTTAGGGACATTTTGGGGACATTCAGCACTTACGCGGATGACGTCGATACGTGTGATGACGACGAAGGAGTGCCCTGACCCCCTGACGTCCGCTTCGAATTACGATGCGGAGGTCTAGGAAGTTGGGGGTTGGGTGGAAGCATGGCCGGGGTTATCGCGCGGCGGATAGGGCGTCAAACGTTGGCGTTCGGCGTTGAGAAGTGAAATCAATCGGTTGCGTGCAAGGCAAATTATCAGACGTCGGCGTTCGATGATGTACTGAGTAGAAGCGAGGGTGGGAAACATGAATGTGATCCGTATTTAATTATGAAGGTGGTCCACATTTGATGATCCACAGGTTAGCAAATGAGGGAACAATGTTTCAGTAACTTTGTGTTTCACTCTGTTTGTCAACGTTTTGCACAAATGCGAATAACATTTCGGTGGTCTCTTAGATTACATATCGACGAACACTAAATATTATGAGTTATAACCAAATGCGATGCGTTGCTGGGTGGTAAATGCGATTGTCCGCTTGGTGTCTATCCCGATCCTAATGTACATACCGAAATACTTGCAATTTAGGGAATACGACAGTGATGCTATGATGCGATGCAATGCAGGGGTCTAGAGTTACGCGCCTGATTCCTCCAATACCTGCTCCCAGTCTAGGAGGGCAAGCTCTTCGGTGCACTCGAAGAAGGCTAGGACTAGATCATAAAGGTTAATGTTTTCTCGGCAGCCGCGCAAGTTGGTACGACGAGATGGCGTATAAAGCCATTCGGTAAAGGTGTCTAGGGACTGGGTGGCAGTTGGGACGCCGAGGAAGGCGAATATGATTTCGTGCAATAGGGGGAAATGTGAAAGTGAGGAACGGGATCCCGATCCACATGTCCTGAAGGCTTTCATCGTCGCATTTTTTTTTCGCCTGCTACATGAAAGGGATTGTGAAGTGTGAGCACAAGGTAAGATCGTAAAAGGAAATGAAAATGGAAGTTTGTAACTCGGATGCGAAGAGTAACGGAGTCACGTCGTCTTCGCTTTGAAGCATGATCGGTGTGTAGAGGATATGCAATCCTTACAGTAATTTGGAAGTTTGGAAGTCCGGACTCCGGAGCCGCACTAAAAGTCTAAATAGTCTGGATAATAAAGACGTGCATGTGAATGACATTAAGATCGGGCGTGAAAGGTTAGTGAATAATTGCCGGTGAAGAGAAAATGATACCTAAAGGTTGGTGCTCGTGCACCGAGGTAAGTGTTTGTGATAAGCGTTGGCGCTCGTCGTTGATGTCGGAACGAACAAGCGTTGGCGCTCGTTGTTGTTGTAGTTGCTGGAAACTGACAAGCGTTGACGCTCGTTGTTGTTGTCGGAACGAACAAGCGTTGGCGCTCATCGTTGTTATGACCACAGAAGGGCGCGCGGTATGCATGATGTTGTTCTGATCAGTGTGATTCGATTAGGGTCTTCCAGATTGAGATTGGCTCGCGTTGGTGAAGTCTTGAAACGTCAAGCGAAGTATCAAACGTTGGCGTTCAACGATGCGTTGGGCGGGGTTCCGCGAAGAGCGGGGTCAGATGTTGGTGTTCGATGCGGAGAGGGAAGGATGACTGCATGCGGACGTCTCCTTCGATATTATGAAGGAGAGGTCTTGTAGGTAGGTTGACAACATTTGATGGAGGTAAAAGGTGAACGCAATGCGCTGCGTTGTTTGAGTCGTATTTCCAAATATGTCCATTACAATGACTTTGATGACTTTGGTGACGTTGATGACTTTGGTGACTTTGATGACGTTGATGACTTTGATGACTTTGGTGACCGACTTTGACCTACGTTGATGACTTTGATGACTTTGATGACGTTGGTGACTTTGGGGACATCATATATTGGAACATGCTAAATACAAGCTAATTTAAACACCAGTAGTAATGAACTCTACGCCGGCGTCCTTCCAAACGGAGTCATGACAGAAATGAGCAATGGAAATACGTTGACCTCCATCAAACGACTCGATCTCGTGAGCGAACATGGCTCCGCGAATAAAGACACAAGCCCCAGGACCATACCACATTCTAAGCCCCAGCTTCCGGACACGCAAATTACCACCCTTGAACGATCCAAGTGTGAAAAGGGGAGTCCACGCAAGGCGGGGGTCTCGGCGATCGACGTGATTGGGGGTCTGTCGGTTGTAAATAACCGAACGGCCTTGGAATGAAGATGGGTCGATGCTTGCTCGGGATCGGACGTGGGCGTAGCGTTCCATAAGGGCATTGCGCAGTTCGCAGTGGGATTTATAGGCGTCTGGGTCGAGGGCTTTGAGGACCTCGTTGAGGCGATGGGACGCCAGAGAAAGTTGATGGGTTAGCTCCTCGCAGGCAGAGAAGCGAACCGAAGACCCAAGCTGCGCCTTTGACAGGATTGACTGGCTTTTCTTGGAAGGTTACAGTTCAACTGGAAATTTACATAACTTTAAATCTTGGCACTGTTGGCAGCGTTGCCTAATTAGTGCCCCTTATGCAATCCCTTGGGCATATAAATCTTCTTCGATTGTCAAGATACCGACACAAGTCTTTTGTCCCTCTCCCGCCTCGGCCATTGTGGCCGACTTGAGAGGAGCATTTTGCGGACCGCTCCGCGGCAATTGTTGCCCAGGGAGAGGAAAGCGCTTTGCTGCAAACTTCTGAGATATCCGCGAGCTCTCACTTTACTGTCAATCTGGGCATTGCATAGTTGGTCCATTGATCAGTTTGCAGACCCATGCAACTTTCACAGATCTCAATAAAGGTTTCATTTGCTGATGGAGTGGGATGAGTTTCGCATCCCCAAACACAAGGTTCTGGCGGAGGTTAGGTTGGAAGATCATGGCCTGGGCGTGAACATGCCAGAGCTGCAGCGCAACTCGCTTCATTCTTTGTTGCCATGTAGCATAGCTGGGAGGTGAATCTGAAGTCAGGGTCGACTGAGAGGGTGGACGACGAGGGATCTGTTGTACGAGCATCGAGGAACTCTCTTGATGTTGGTGTAATCTGGTGGGATTTTCTTATAAGGTTGAACTGCTGCGCAACTAGCGCTACTCCTTCTGGAGCGATGGTGGAATAAGAAAATAAGAAACTCAGGATGTCACTCGCGTGTGAATAGTGAGCATATGCGAGCCGAGAAGTCAGAGAGCGTTTTGACATCTGCTTCAAGATTACAACGAGAGAATGGACGGCGTGGGGCACGAGAGTCAAACGTTGACGTTCGACGGAGGTTAGCTGAAACGTTGGCGTTAGACGGAGACTTGCTGAGATGTACAGTGCATAGGAGAAATCAAACGTTGACGTTCGATAGCGGTTTCTGAGATGTATGGACAAACGTTGGCATTCGACCATACTTGGGAGAAATCAAACGTCGACGTTCGATGGCGGTTTCTAAGATGCATGGACAAACGTTGACGTTCGATAGCGGTTTGTTGAGACGCAGTGTGCATAGGAGAAATCAAACGTTAACGTCCGATGGCGGTTTCTGAGACGTATGGACAAACGTTGGCGTTCGACCATACTCAGGAGAAATCAAACGTTGACGTTCGATAGCGGTTTGAGACGCAGTGCATGGGAGAATCAACGTTCGATAGCGGTTTCTGAGATGTATGGACAAACGTTGGCGTTCGACCATACTTGGAGGAATCAAACGTTGACGTTCGATAGCGGTTTCTGAGACGAATGGACAAACGTTGGCGTTCGACCATACTCAGGAGAAATCAAGCGTTGACGTTCGACAGCAGTTTGCTGAGATGTAGAACCAAATTTTAGTTAGGGATAACTCGAGGTCAGAAAGAATGGTCGCATGCAAAAATTTGCCTCGAAATTACGAAGCAAAGGTCTCTTGGATGAGGTGATGGGTGTAGGGGAAAAAGAGGTGGACTGTGGCAGCGTGACTACGTAATATTATCTGTCATGCCATGTTTGGCTTTTATATGATGTCATAACAGCATCTATATACCTGCGAGTGTCGGAACCGACAAGCGTTGACGCTCGTCATCATCGTGAGTAATGGGAAAGGAGTTGTGGGTGTTTGGTCCAGCGATTACGGGAAGCCCTCGTTAGCCAACCATGACGATTATGTGAGCAAACGACGTTGTGGACACACTTGGTGGCGTCACTTGGAAAGAACGTGTTATAGGAAATAAAGTAGGTCAACAAAGTACTTATTAGAACCTGCCTACGGATATACGACTCTTTATTTTTTTTCTTCATGAATTCTGATTCTGATTATTTGAAGAATAATAACTAGTCGTGGAATAGAAATTAGAAACAGGATTCGGTAAGGGATACAAGGGCAGGGCGACGGGTGCAAAGCGCTTCGATTGCGACTCCTACAGCAACGATAGCTTTTGAGTTCGATAGAAAAGAACAAAAAGACACCACTATGACCGTCTTCTATTACATGCAATGCAAAAATGATATCCTGTGCCTCCTTCAGATTGATTGTGAAGAAAGAGAACGAGAGAGAAAGAGATGGATCGCATGCACTGAATGAGATACTTTGATGACTTTGATGACGGACTTTGATGACTTTGATGACTTTCTTTGATGACCGACCTACTTTGATGACTTTGATGACTTCGTTGACTGACTTTGATGACTGACTTCGTTGACTTTGATGACTGACTTTGATGACTTCGTTGACGGACTTTGATGACTTTGATGACTGACTTTGATGACTTCGTCGCTTGTGCAGTATTGTACATTGTAATAAGTTATAGTTAGACCTTTTCATGGACGATGGCGAAGCCGCATAGCATTTTTCCGTTGGCGGCGTCATCGCTATGGTCGGATAAATGGGAAATTTGCTCGTCAGTTGGCAGCATTGTGCGTTGCGAAAAATTCAGTTGTGATTAGTTTGCTTATAGTCTTGGGTTGATTTGCTTGATTTTTGCAAATTTTTTGCATGATATCGAGGCGAAAACCTCGTTTGCACTCGGTGACGTCCGCAACCGCACCGGTGTATAAGAAGTAAAAGTACATTCCATTGCTGTATATATGCTATGTATGTGCGGTATGTATATAATATGTAAACGACGACGACCCAAGCTCGGTTATTGGGATAGAATGAATGAATCGACGGCAAGGAGTGCAGACGAATAGCCCGATTTTCAGACTGGATATCTAGAAAGTACCACTACGCACTGAAGAAGTGACATAGTTACCAGAAATTGGATAATTAACCAAGCAGCTCACGGATATGAACGAAATGACGACTTCTAAGGTAAAGCATTATATGATTCCATCGATGGATACGCTTGGCAAAGCTCTTCGCATAGCCGTGCTGCCTGAGCGTCTGTTCCGTCTGTGCCAGAGCTTTGAAATGCAATTATCGTGTGTTTACGGTGCATGTCAACCCACGCTTTACGGGTGAGGAATGAAGCCTGCGCCGGTGTCTGCATCGACGGCCTATATAGGGCGGTGATGCGCTTGTTGAACCAGTCCTCCCAACCCTCGGACCATTCTCCGTGCCACTTCTGGAACCTTTCAAAAGTATCGTGAGGAGGCCATACGCTGCGACCCGTGAGGGAGGTGCCTAGCAGCAGTGCGACGGCATCGGGGGTCACTGTGTCATCGATATCTGAGCCAACGCGATCCACACGGTGATGCATGTAAGCATCTATGGATGGACCGGACAGGGCAGCGGAAAAAAGGCTGGGGGGGCCGTAGTGCAATGCGACGCGCCACACTATACCGCCCATTGTGAGAAAGCGCCTGGCGTATGGAAGTTGCAGGAGGGCTCGGACGCGATATTCGTACTCCTGCAAGGTGTCGTTGGCGAGTGGCGGATGCGTGGCACTAATGTAGGGAGGCGGAGTGATTTGATATGCGGGGTTTGGACCGATGAGATTGTATGAACTGACGAAGACTCTCCAATCGAGTCCTCTTGAGATACAGCGAACTGCGAAAAACCACAGGGGTACGTCTGGATACTGATCTCGCCAAAGACGGAGTCGTAATTCAGTTCTCTTGGAGACTACTAAACGGCCGCGAGAAATGACGTGCAGGGAGCGGTAGGAGGGGTGGTTGATCATCGACAGGTTCACGGCAGTCGGTTTGTCAAACTGAACAAGATGGCTTGTACGTGCGATGATCCAGCGAGTCTTGTCAGTCTGAGCGACGGGGTGATTCATCCTGTCGAAGCCTGCAAGTGAGCTCACAGCAGGAGCCGAGAGTTGGGAAGGCGGAGTAGGATAGCACGATGTGCGAGCTGCTATACAGATTTAGTCAAATGATGGCATGAATTAGGTTGGAAACTCACGAGGACCCGTTCTTTGAAGGTTATGGCGTGATGAGGACGGATAAGAGGGGGAGGGTGCTGCAAACGACAGAAATTAATTGCTAGCTAAACCTAAGTTGAAGGGACACTTACAGCGACGCCTTCTAGGACTCTGGTAGCGCGCAGACGGTTGGTATCCAACCGGAGAGCGTGATCGGCTGTAACGAGGAGGAATAATGCGGTCCTGTTGAGAGGAAGGATAGTCTCTGTAGGATGACCGTGTGCTGCGATTACGAGGGGGAGATACGGGTCGACGATGCGGATAGTCCCTATAGGATGAGGGCCTATAGCGGGGAGGAGATATGGCATGACGAGACCGTTCTTGACGGTCATGAGAGCGTCGTCTGCCACGATCGCCAGTCGCGCCATTGTGTTGCGATAGAAGAGGGCGGTTGTGGATAGACGACTCAAGTTCGCCAGGCTCAAGCTCGTGCTCAGGTGGCGAGGAATGTGCCATGGCAGGTGGACGGTACTCATCGACATGCATGTGCTGGTCGTTTTCATGTGCATCGTCAGCCATGATAACGTCTTGCTCCATCCTCTCTTGCTCCCAGCGCTCTTGCTCCAGCCTCTCATTCTCCTGGCGTTCTTGCTCCAGCCTCACCTTCTCCTGGCGCTCTTGCTCCAGCCTAACTTGCTCCATCCTCTCCTTCTCCTGGCGTTCTTGCTCCAGCCTCGCCTTCTCCTGGCGCTCTTGCTCCAGCCTATCCTTCTCCTGGCGTTCTTGCTCCAGCCTCGCCTTCTCCTGGCGCTCTTGCTCCAGCCTAACTTGCTCCATCCTCTCCTTCTCCTGGCGTTCTTGCTCCAGCCTCTCTTTCTCTTGGCGCTCTTGATCCATCCAACCTCTCTTTCTCTTGACGCTCTTGCTCGAGCCTCTCCTTCTCTTGGCGTTCTTTCTCCGTCGTCTCTTTCTCTTGACGCTCTTGCTCCAGCCTAACTTGCTCCATCCTCTCCTTCTCCTGACGTTCTTCCTCCTGCCTCTCTTCCTCGAGTCGCTGCTCCATCTCCCGCTGTACGACTTGTGGGTCTTCGATCTGGCTTCTCGCAATTACTGAAAACCATCTCGCTCGATCAGAGGCAGGATGGGGGACGCCGAGCGTGTGTCCAAGGACGTTATGCGCGACAGTGTTGATCGCGAACAGCGCACAACAGCATGTGTCCTTCTGGACACCGTGCGGTAAGACACCTCCGTCGTTGCGAAATTCTCCACCGAAGCGTTTGCAGAACCACCATTGGAGCTTCTGGATGATATCAGACGGGGCATTTTTTGAATAAAGAGAGTCGCCTGCATTCACATTAGCTTTATGAGTTCCAAGTTGAAAGTGGAGGGCTCTTACCGTATTTAAAGGACTTTGTTTCAAAATCAATCGCAAAGGCAATAAAATGATCCAGCGTGGGTACGTGCACTGTAGCATAAAGATATCTGTGTTTCTTTGCATCATCTTCAATTTCCTGGAGATGGCGGTGCGGCCGATTGTGATAGGAGATATGCTTTGCCCTGCAGATCGCATCGCCGAAGCTGGTGTTTGCGATGATAACGTCATGGCGTTGCACAGGCAGGAAAGAGACAAGAGAGGCTGTCATCAGATCGACAAGAGTCTCGGACAAACAGCGGTGATCTGACAAAAATAAACGTAGGTGGTTTGTGGTTCTGCGACTGGTCGCAGCTGGCCCACGAAGCGACCTGTTCCAGGGAAGAAGGCGGAGCAGCGTCTCTGCCTCTCTGAACAGCTCTAAGTCTCTTCCCGTCTTCTGCTTCTCCCGTATCCAACGCGCTGCCTTCACCCAATGCGTCTTGTGTTCGTGCGCGGAGTGCAGCGCCCACCAAAATTCGATAACCCACAGAGGGAGCAGAGTATTTAGGTTGCGCGGATCACGTATCGAGCGCTTCCCGTCAAGGAGCGCTTGCCCAAACTCATTACCAAGGCGTTCGATGTATGGCACAGGAGGTATTTGTCCCTGAGGGTCGACCGTTGCAGTAGGGAGGTCTTCATCGAACTGTATACTTTGGTCGAATGGCCACATTGCAATTTGTGGGAGACGATGATTGATTAGTGATGCGACCGAAATATCGTCGCGAGGCAGTAACGACGTGAGCATGCCGTCTGGGATTGTCAAAATTGCAGCGCAGAGCTGCCGAAGGTCATCTGGGAGAGGCAGCGTATCTGGGAATATTTGCCCTCGATTGATCCATCGGCTTGCTGCAGGAAGGTGGGATAACGCATTCGGGCCATGCGACTGTTGAAGGAGGTAGAACTCTGGCGGATGGCATGAACCAGAGATCTTCCATTGGTCGTCGTGTCGTCGTCGTCGTGATCCGATTCGTCGTCGTCGCTGTCGTCCACACCGGAGGCAGATGACCTGCGTTTACTAGCCGACATGCATTGGATGGTTCTGCGAGGCGGGCGGCCGGGCGGCCTTTCTACGCGAGACTTGTCCAGAGGCATTGAGTTCGGTGCGAGGAATGCTTGGTATCAAACGCTGAGTGCGCGATGATGTGAGATGTCGCAGCAAGAGGCGAGAGTCAAACGTTAACGTTCGATGTTGGAGATTTGAATGTCTAGCTAGAATTACCAGCTAGAGATTCAGGAGTGCGTTAGAGTGTCAAGTCAAACGTTGGCGTTCGACGATGATGAAAGTAGGAGGAAAGCAGCGATGAATAAATCAAACGTTAACGTTCGATGTTAAAGATTTGAATGTCTAGCTAGAATTACCAGCTAGAGATTCAGGAGTGCGTTAGAGTGTTAAGTCAAACGTTGGCGTTCGACGATGATGAAAGTAGGAGGAAAGCAGCAATATTGGAATGAAATGAATTACTTGAACGTTCCATTGTGTAATATTTGGTCCACCGGATCACATGTGGTAAATGATCGACGGATGTGGTAACGGGACAATAGGTGATACCTTGTTTGGCGTGGATTCCATGAATTCGTCATTGGAAATTGACAATGTGTCATTATTTTCAATTGTGGACAGGGTATACAAGGAGTGATGTCGTGGATTCGCCAACAAGTCTGGGAATAATAGTGATAATAGTAATACGCTAAGGCCACAAAATTTGAATAACGTACATGGTATCAAAATTTAACGTAGGCGTTTGACGAGATAATGACGTCTGCTTCAATAGAGGTATAAACAATATTAATGAAGGTAAAAAGGGACTTTGGCGACTTCCAGGACGATTGACGCTAGATGTATAGACACGGTGCTCGGGTGTCCCGAATCGGTGAAAGCTAGGGGTCTGTTAGAATCTATTAATGTGACTAAGCATGGTACGTGACCCAGATGCTGCTGAGATAAACCTTCATCAACAAAGGGAGTCGCACACCCGTTGTTTCAGTATGAGCTGAAACATCTGAGAGATTCATGAACGCTACTATTTGTATGTACCTGTGCGTCATTTTCTGATTCGTCCAGTCCACATGGTGCAGTCCTTTATAGCGGTGGGGTGCGCGTATACCCTACCTAACACTGCCAAGCCTCGAGCCCTTTGTGTCGTGCATGGCGATATATCTTGCCTTTGTAATTCGTTACAGGAACGGCGTATTCTACATTTCTCGGCGTGCAGCGCGTGAGCATCGTCATGGACTCATATACCAATTTGAATGAGGGCAGATGGCGCATCTCAGCGGCTAGTTTGCAAGTTATTAAAAGTATGGCGCTTAATTGGTTGGGCAGAAGAGCTTGAAGACTAAGATCGTTCCAGTTTTACCCCGACGTTTCCTTGCTCGCGCACATCAGAAATGGTAACCTCTTGGTTTTGTAAGGTTATAATCAACTAGCCTAACAAGCCTAACCGCCAAGCTAGCCTAACCCGAAAAGAATATGATCTCAATTCTAACCGAGAACCACTAACTTAATCATCTGTGGGATAATGTTCGACCCAGAGAAGTGAGCAGCAAATTCTTTTGCGCAGGTTTGAGGTAATGGTCTATAGAACGTGAGTTTGATAGGGCGCAGTAGGGAAAAAAAAATGAGCTCACCGTCCTCTCCTCCTGCCCTCCACCCCTTGTACCTCGAAGACCGGACCATAACTTTTGATCCAGAGCAGTGAGCGGCAATATTTTTGGTGCGAGTCCGAGCTATTGGTCCATAGATTAGGATGGTAGAATATCAGGTTGGTAGGATGTCGTGAGGAAAAGATATGGAGCCATGTGTCCCTCCTCCTCGCTGCAGAAGACCGAGGAGGATTGTTCCGGCCATAACTCGGGAACGAGAGATGCGAGAGACGAGGTTAAAAGTGCGAGTTCATCGTGGGCAGCGACTTACGCAGCCCAGGATGTGTCGAGGTCCCCGGACGTCGTGGTGGAAAGATACGAGGCAAAGAAGGTCCGAAAACTGTGTGAAAAAGTGAAAATTTGATTGTGCCTGTGACCAAACATTTACTCAACTATTTCGGACCGGGCTTTCTTGCGAACCCTGCAGAATCTCGCGGACTTTAAGATGGGATAGAAGTGTCTTAATAAAAAGTGGAAGGAATGAGGCGAAAAAAAAATCGATTTTGTGGGAGCGGGCGAACCGTAGGTTCGCCCGTCCGTATATGGATAGGTAAGGACGACGAAACCATCGTGTCTCTAATTTCAGGTGATTCGAACTTCTGCGTCATTGGACAAAATAAAATAAAAACGATAAAGCAAATAAATTGACGTTATAACTAAAACTCAAATTGATTTCACAAAAGTTTGGTACAACATATAGATTCCTTGATAATAACTAAAGTACAAATGAATGAGTGTGGTAGTACTACAAATGCGTAGTCGTGAAAATGTCATATGGGCCCAGTCATAAAGCAGTGTCTTCCCAACCTTGGCAGCACGTATCGTCTCCAATATAGCCGTCTGGTTTGCACCATCCAGCGCTGAGGCACATTCGTCTAGAATGAGAATCTTGGCTGGGTGTGCGAGTGCGCGAGCGATTTGGAGGCGCTGGGCTTGACCACCCGAGACTAGAGATGCGTTCTCCCAGATGAGGGTGTCGTACCCTTGTGGTAACGACATGATGAAGTTGTAGACGTTCGCAGCACGTGCTGCCCTCTCGACGTCCGCGTCGCTCATCCCATTATCCTCGCCTACTCGTCTGTATGCGATGTTTTCACGGATGCTGGCGTCGAAGAGGTTGGGAGATTGGCTGACGACGGCGACGTAGTCACGGAGGTGGTTGATATGTTGATATCTGTCGCGCGGAGCTCGTTGAGGCCTACTGAGATCGTGCCAGAATATTGCAACTCTGCGTCGGCATCCCTCTGGCTGCATCATTTGAACACTCTTTGTTCTTCGGCAAACTGGAGCTCTCCCGCGACACACGTGGCTACAGTTGCATATAATTTAGTTGTCTTAATGTACAGTGTTCAGTGAGACATGAAAATGAGGTCCTCAGATCTTACAATAGTGTATGGCTTTCAATACAAAGCGTACATTAGAAGTGACCTTAGTTAATATAACGGTGACATCAGGTACATTGCAGGTAATCTATTAGACCTCAGTTAGTGGGGTAAACTGTTGTAAGCAAGTAAGAAGTTCTGCTCTATTGACGAGGTCTCCTGCATCCGTTTGGTCTCCTTTATAATACTCCCTAACTGCCGATTTGATGTTTTTGTGGAAATGCTTAATGATGGTTGTGGCGATGGCGAGCGCTCTGGGGGTGCTGCCTGTTTTCAAGATCGTAGTGCGTTGATCGTTTCCAGCTGCAACATATTTTTCCCGCTTTATGATCATTATACACAGGGCCATAAGCGACCTGTGGTATAACTCTTGTGATGACGTTAGAGACGTTCGTCGTGGACATGTATATCACTTACTAACGCTGGGGGATAGTCGGGGCAAATTGATGACTAGCCGTTGCAGCGTTTCAATGGTGTGCTCATGGACTTGGTTGGTTAAGAAAATTCCTTCTTTTACATCGACATAACGCGACAGCTCGGTCAAATGCATGCACTCGTAGTTGTAGAAATGACCGCCGGTTGCAAAAGATGGTACTGGTGTGTAAACTGCGTGGTACAGTCCAGGTGGTTGAAAGCTTGCAAATGTGAGCTAAGGATAAACAAAAGCGATAGGAATGTGAACTTACAAAAGATCCCCTTTGGAGAGCCTTACTACTTCGGAATACCAATTGGATTCTATCTCCTTGCGATTGAGTGAGACGTTCGTTAACAGCATGGATAGTTTTAGGAGGTTGGTACGCAAAACGTTGGGGTCCTTTGGCCAATGGGGGGCCCAAAGTTTGTCGCCTTCTATCATTTCGAGATACGTTAGATACCCGTCAGCATCATGATGTATGGGCGTTGGGAACCCGGGTTGGTGAAGTAAAGCCCATGAAAGTGAGAAGAAAATGTCGGGATGGTAAGTTTGGTCACGAACGCGGGAGTCAGTTAGGGTTTGGCTCCACGCATGGACGGTGCCGTGGTCGACAAGTCTGAGGAATAAGTATTGTGATTGAGTATGAAGAAATGGAGCCTCACTTGAGTTCTTGCGGTAGAGCACCCTGGAGATGTGGTAGATCAAGCACGCACTGAATCTTAGATGGGTCGTTTAAGGCGTCGAAGAACTGTTCGATTGTACAGCTCACGAATGGACGGTCATATGTCTCTGTCCGTTTTCGGAGGTCTATCGGAAGTGGTTGGGTAAAATTTGGGGAAGTGTAAAAAAGCGCGTTAGCTTACCGTGTGCAATCACACTCATCTGAGGTGATATACCAAACTCTTCGTCGAGCCTTTCGGCAGTGAGTGCCTGCGCTTGAGTATTACCATCTGCACGAATGACGACACCTTTTCCTGCGCGGAGTCCTGCGCAGACGCGTTCACGTAGTTCTTTTGGGCGCGAGCACCAGTCAGATGACCTTAGATGGATGATGTGCTCCGAATCGGGAGTTGATTCGGGAAGCTGAGCTAGGTATCTCACTATGTCGACATCGTTGGGTTCGCATTTATTTTTCCCGTCCTCCCAAACACATGGCAGGACCGTAGTGCATCCGTTAGCCCATGTAATTGTCTGCGATTGTTCAGGCACTTGAAATCCGATGAGCCCAGCTGCCAAGTCCATGTTCTGCTCAGCGAGCGTCGACAAGATGGGGGAGGGAGCTTCGGTCATGACAGATGCATCTTGCGTGTGATGGGTTTCGGTCGTCACCATGACTTCGCGAGTACGGGGAATTTCTGTGGTCCCCTCGACATTTAGAGATTGTTGTGATAAGAGCTTTGGATCTATGGGGATCAGAACAGGTTGAGCGTCGGGAGAAAGGGAGGGTTCCGGGAGGTTGGAAGGTCCTGCAGCAGAGTCCGTGGTTACTGCATTGCGGCGCCGCTTGGCAGCAGGCTGTCCTTCGATGTCATCCTGTGCATTTTCCTTGGCTCGTGCGCGCTGTTTCCGTTTGTTTTCTGCGTTGAGTTGGCGCTGTCGGTCTCGCTTCTCCGGGTCGTTCATTACTTCTTGGCGCCATCGCTTTTGAAACTCCCTTTGCTTCTCTTTCGAAGGTGGTATGCCGGCCAGATCAGGGTGTTTGAGGTTGCGAGCCATGGCAGGTCAACAATGAAATTACACAGTTGAGATGCGAATGGTGAGGAGTTGAGAGATAACGCAGGAACATAAATGAATTTGTAGCGGAACGAGGATGTCATAATACAATAGCTTAACTTGCGCGTAGACCACCATCTGTGGACATTTAGAATTGTGTGGACCGATAAAATGTGATAGGAGATAATGTGAGGCTCAAAATGAATTAAATATAGAAGCGAGTCCCGAAAGTGTGGCCTTGAAGTCTGAAAAGTGAGTCCCTGAAGTGAGTCCAGTCCCTGAAGTGAGTCCCTGAAGTGAGTCCCGGAAGTGAGTCCCTGAAGTGAGTCCCTGAAGTAGTCCCTGAAGTGAGTCCCTGAAGTGAGTCCCTGAAGTGAGTCCCTGAAGTAAGTCCCGGAAGTGAGTCCCTGAAGTGAGTCCCTGAAGTAAGTCCCGGAAGTGAGTCCCTGAAGTGAGTCCCTGAAGTAAGTCCCAGTGAAGACTGGACATGGCCAGAACGGTTGAGATCGAGCGGAATATGACGGATTTAGAAGCACAATATTTCACAACAGGAGACTCGCTGTGGAGACTAATAGAATATTTCGCATCTGTTCGATTCTTCTCAAATATTGTAGGGCATATTAAGAATATTGATATTATATTTCACCACATTTTAGTTCAGTTCGTGTAGTACGACAAAATCGGTTGTATTCGCGTCAATTATGCTATAATCTAGTGATACAGGTGGATCGACTAGCGACCAGAAAACACGATATGCGACCCGAAAACACGATATGATCATTGCGATAGCAGTAGATACAACGGGAACAATGCAGCAACATCCAGGAATAACACAGCAACGACACAGGCAGGCAAGTGGGAGCAGGCAAGCGATAGGGAAGGTTAATACATTGTCCCGTCGACGATGTCGCCGTTCTTCGTCCAGCCTGCGTCTCGTTCCTAGGGTTTCTCAGCAGCTCGACGGAGTAAGTAGAAGGACTGTACTTACTAGCTGATTGATCTCGGTATTATAAGACTTTAGACAGAAGTGTTAGTGGTATTTGTCAAAAGAGGTAGCAATACAATACCTGGATCTGCGCCTCGTTCAACTTGGAATAATAGGCATTGAATTCGTTGGTGGAACCAGCAGTGTTAACCTGTTTAAGCCAGCGAAAGGCGCAAAGGTTCCTATGCGATCGGTTAAGCACTGATCCTTTCAATAATAAAATAATGCGTACCGTGCATTCTTCCTTGGTCCTGGGCGCATTTTCACAGCCTTCTTCGAAGATGCACTGGTGGCAAGGCTCTTCCGTGTCAGGGTACGTACGCGCCGTAGAAGCACGAATGTGTTCATAGGCACTCTGCGACGAGTGTTCGAGAGCATAGTAGGTTGAGATTGCATGACGAATGATAGGATCAATGATATTCGGAGGAGCACGAGGAGGGTCCTGTAAATTATTTTTGGCCTCTTCATCAAGTTTCTCAACAGCATCATCCAATGACGCAGACCGCAGTGCTAAAATGAACTCCCAGCTGTTGCGATCTTGGGGAGAACAGCTTGACGTGCAAGTTCATCGATATCAACAGCTGGTCGTTCACTTGGTTCGTCAAGTTGGGGGACAGGTGATACCCGATGCTCTGGCAGGTTATTCTCGCCATCAACCTGCTCATCACCCTGTCTGTCAACCTGTCCGTCGAAATCACCATCACCTTGGCCATCGAAATCACGGTGCCCCTGTCCAGTGTTGTCTCTATCACCCTGTCCAGCGTAGAAATCCCAATCGTCGTCTCCGGCAGGTGCGCTGGGCCCTTCTTCGTCAGCCACAGGTGCTCTGCCCTGTCCATCATCATCTCTATCGCCCTGTCCAGCGTAGAAATCCCAATCGTCGTCTCCGGCAGGTGCGCTGGGCTCTTCTTCGTCACGGCCACTCTGTCCTCCATCCGAAGATGATGGGGTAGCCAAGCGTACACGCTTCTGACTTGTTTGGGCTGCATCAGAGTCATTGGGTCTTTTTGACAGACAGCTCGATGTACTATCTGCCCCACTGGCAACAATATTTTGAGACGGACCAGAACTCGAAGAAGATGCACCGTGGGTATCGACGTGAGCTTGAAGCTGCGCATGTAAATCAAGAGAGAGTTTCCCGGCGCGAATAGCCTGCTTTTCTTCCTCTTTTTCAGCTGCTTTTAAGTGTTTGTACCACGCAGAGCGAGAGAGAGCATGGGGGCGACCAGCGTTGTGTCTCTTGCAGACACATGTGTAACCCAGGTCTATGGGCATACTGAGTGAGCCAATACTGTAAATTATAAGTTAGTTGATATGCACGAGTCGGAAAGTACTTACGACGCCGTTAACGGTCTGATAGATAGAATTTGACCCAGAACTAACACTACAAACGCTCCGGCTGGGTGACAAAGTAATGCGTGTGCGTGAGTTGTTGAGTAAAACCGCTTTGATAGCGAGCGATGCAATGTTTTCACGATGCGATGCAATGTTTTTACGATGCGATGTTGATGCGATGCGATGTTTTCACGATGTATTGCACTGACGATCGTGTGGTTGCAGATCATACAACATTATAGCATAATCAATATGTCTAAACAACATTTTACACTATTCGAACCGTTTTGGCCATGTCCAGTCTTCACTGGGCTTGAGGTCTCACTCCCAAAGCCAACACTCACTCGTGTTGACGAGGAAGAGCCAGAGGAGAACGAGTCAGATGAAGATAGCGAGGAAGAACGTTGATACAACATGGTGTATCTTATCTGCGCGACTGGGGAATAAATCTGCCTTTTCGGGTCGGCGCAAATGACGGTGGACGTACGATAACACCCAGAATAACATCTCATTTGATGTTCTTCAAAACTACATACCAAGTAGATTAGCTATCTATAATGACCATCCCCAAAAGCGATTTTCGAGATTGTGTCTGGTTGTGTTGTGGCAGACATCCGAAAATTCCAAACTCAAATGGCGGTGAATGACTGTATGGGATGAGAGATCTAGATGAGAAGCCCACGTGAGGAAGGCGGCTTGTTCCGGACCCAACGGCGCGGTATTTCCAATAAGCATTTTTCTCGGGGTTTCAATATTCAATTTCAATTCGAACCAGTCGCACAAAATGTCCTTCGACTTAACCCACTGGCTCATACACCCCCTGAGCCTCTTCTGCCGATATGATTTCTGAGGAGAGTTGTCTTGAAAGGAATGCCTGGGATGGCCATGTCTGGTCCAAGTTGGTAAGGATATCCTGACCATGTTGACAAGTTCTACTATATCACGGGCCCCCATTCTATAACTATAGGTTGGAAATAAAGGCGGATGCTCTTCTGGGGCTCTGCTATGCATTGTTCAGTAGCTGTAGCTTTGAATTGATGTTGACGCACTTGGTTGTGCTCCCCCATGAAGTCATCACCGGTAGTGAATCCTAGTCTGCACCGGAGGATAGACCACAACTCTACAACCCAGTGTATACATATCAGTAAGTTCAATGCCTTAAGTGGGAAAGTTACAATCTGTCATGATCTAATCATGGCGTGTACCTCCATTTCATGAGTATTTCACCAAAGACCATGGGGTGATAATATTTACTACTTCCTGGAATTTACACCAATTGGCATTCGGTTCCGCCTTCTTCGAGGCACCAAAATCGGGCAACTGGATCTGCGTCCCTTAACCCTAATCCAATCACGGAACCCAAGCCGGCCAGCTACCATTTTGGGTCGCGCAGCCCAAACGCGTTTCTCCACCCTCTCAAGTCGCGTCGCGTCGCATCCTGCAAAACTCCATGCAGAGCGGGATGGATGAGTCTGATTCAACAGTACCCACCGTCAACTTGCTGGATCTCAACGATCATTGGAAGGAAGCTCTTACTAGACCTGCTGGATGGCGCCCAGAACCTTTTGTCTGTGGAAGGTATGAGCCGGAAAGAGATTGGTTTCAAGTGCTTTGTTATGAAAATTTACACATCCACATCCCCTCCACTTGCAAACCTCTGCTTCGATTTATCAACCATGCCTGCAACTGCGCTTGGTTTGTGTCCCTGTCCTCACGCCTGCCCACCAAAACCAGAAAACTTTGGCTTCAGGCCTCGTATTACATGAACATCCTGCGCCACCGATTTTTCTTGGAGGTAATAGAGAAATTCTACCCTGAAGGTGTCAGGCTGCCTGTGACGACCCTTCCTGCACCAACAAAAATGACCCGGCAATGGGTTTCGAGTATCCTGGTCAGCTGGGGGTACCAGGTATATCATCTGAACGGGATGAGACCGGCCTCAGAAGTTATGCTAGAGAAACTCCTCCAGGACCACCCAAATGTGTCTGGGAGCTACGGTGAGAATGAGTTCAGCTGTCATCTGTTTAGAAAATCAATTGTTCTGCAGATTGGGAGGGTTGGCTGAAGACGGCGAACCCCATCATGAAAGGCTTATACGGGAACATGCCTGACCCCATAAAACACCCTCTGGATTGGCAATGCGTATTGCTAGAGTCCGACCTCAGCGGGAATCCACCAGCACCTATGGTGGAATCCAACCCGGCCAGCTGGCAATTATGTTTGGAGACCGTGATTAAAGAGCTGGATAAGCATCAGCCTGGTAGTTCCCCTGAGGTGCCCATGGAGGTGGATCCCCTGACCGTCCAACCAAGCTCATTCAAGCGTCCACATGTAAGTGTCCATGAGGAATACTTCCTCTAGGGATAGTCTGTGGATCTAAAGTACTTGTTAGTCCCCTGATGTAGCCAAGTCCTCCCAAAACAAAAGACGTCAACTTCCCAAGGTATGCCTCCAGAATCTTCATCTTATCCTTATTAACTGGTCTCCGGGAAATATCAGGTTTCATCTGGGCGTCATACATCTGAGAGGACAGCCCCTCCTAGTAGGTCCACATCTGACCGCCCCCGACGTACTACCCGACGCTTCCAGGCTATGCAGCCAGGGCAGCCAATAGCTTCAGGATCTTCGGTGAGAAACTGCCCCGAAGGCCTCATCTGCCGCAACTGAGACTTATTTTTGTTTGAGGTAGTCTGGGAACGTCAGTGAGCCCAACGTCCCCCCAGCTCCTTCCTCAAATAGTGAGGGACTTTCATTCAGTGAATATAACTCTTGGGGAGTCTGGTTAACCCCAGTAGCGGCCTTGACTGAAAGTGAGCTGCGGGAGCCAATTGAAGAAGAGGTTGAGATGCAGGAACCAATTGAAGAAGGGGTTGAGATGCGGGAACAAATTGAAGAAGGGGTTGAGCTGCGGGAACAAATTGAAGAAGGGGTTGAACGGGGGGAACCAACTGAAAGATGGTTTGAGCTTTGGGAGATCTTTAGGAAGCAGAGCTACTCCCAACAACACGATCAACAACTGTTAGGCCAAATATGTGACTTGCAGTTGCAACCATCCGTAGGTTGTATGATCTAGGTGGGGAGTTTATAGAGTTTCTCTCCTTACCCACATTACTATATTTTCATCCAATGAAGTTTGTCTACCTGGGTCGGTACATACTTACCACATGGTCACTGTAAGTGTCTGATAATGACTTAGCCATTTTCATATACATCCCATCTTTGGAATCTTTCTTAAGCTTAAGGCCAGTCCAAATAATTATTACATGCGTATGTGATTAGTCCAGAATTTTGAATACCAGTCATATGCTAAGACAGGCCGCGTTCATACTCTGGTTCATCACGTGACTTAAGAGGTCCAAAAACACATCTTTGCCTCATAACTCTGCAGCAACGTACAAGTAGCGAAGACTGTTCCGTGATTTTGCAAATGTGACCGTCGAAAGCTCAGAATGCAATTGGTGGAAGAAAATCAGTCAATCACACATAGGTAGCAGTATAGAGCATTTCCATTCACTGGTGTCAGATATCAAGGGTATATAATCCAACATCTCTACAGAAAATTGCTCAGTTGGTTCATTCACTGCGAGATACATCAAGACATTTTCGCCATTGCCACTGCCACTGCCAACTCCGCCATTATCGTCTCCGGAAGCACACGATGACCACGACATTGCTTTGACGCCCACGTGGCCTGCTTCCCGTCGAGGACCTTGTGGTAGGCGTCCACAAATCTAAGTGAGCGTGTGGAGAATCTGATTCGAAAGGATCAAAACTTGAAATCAGAGTAATAAGAAAATTAAAGAGTCAAAAAAGGCTTACCGTCGAATAGCTTCTAGCGGAACAGCCGGAAGGGCAACAAGAACATTCTGTTCAAGATCAGCCTCTTTTGATGACACCGGAAGTTCACGGTAGACTCGCTTCGAATAACCCCAACACTGTTCGATAAAATCGAGTTCACAGTGGAATTTCGGAAAGAAGATTGTGCAACAGCCCCTAACTTCGCATGTGATCTCCAGCAATGACTTAACATTGACGAAATCAAGTTCATTGTAGAGCATCCGTCGGCAACGACAGCGATTTTCTTCATTTCCATCTCACCCGTCTCGGTATGCGGGTGGCCCTGATGTCACTTGTTTTGCACATTTAAGCTTTATGATCACTGTAATGCTTACTCGTTCCTCATTTTCTCGATTTAACTCTTAAAAATTATATGGGTGTATTGCTACATACTCTGCGCACATAATTATAGAACCATTTTCAATTACACTTCGTGTACAGCGAGCTATAGGTGAATTCAGTGAAATGTCGCACTAAAGTCACGTGATGAACCAGAAAATACGGAAGCGGATTTCACCGGCAGATCGATCACTTTAACTTGTGTATCTAACCGTCACCCATGGTTTCAACACCTGTACTATATCATGGTAAGTTTGGTCAAGTGATCCAAATCCAGGTTAACGCTGTTGGATTGCAGGAGCCCGTGTTGTACGAGTGTTCCAGTTGCCACGCCTGGACTCTCAGCCAGCATTTCGGGTTTCACAAGAGGTACAGACACCACCAACCCCCGCAGCGGATCAAGGACCACCTGGATCAAACTACTTGGCTGCCAGCTTTCTTAAGTTGATTCAGGAACATTTCCAGTGCCCGATGTGAGTGATATTCGTGATCTTACAGGGTTGCCCACTCACCTATGGGTCAGATGTTGGGACGTCCTGTCAGCACCATGATCCTGATACGATCATCGCCCTAACCTAACCCAAGCTTAGTGTTGCGCCAGTGACTTATTGCCCATCAGGACATGCGGCTTGTGTATATTGCACGCTGAGTTCAGCCGTCAACCTCAACCTTGGGGTCACTAAATGCGTCCTGTGTCGGTCTCCAAATGTTGTTCCTGGGGGTTGTCCTTTCATCTATCTTCGGCAGACCCAGGACTCTGTTGTGTCCCTGATGGAAGGAATCGCCCGGGAGTTCCAAGACGCTCCTCCCGAAAATCCGGAATTAAGGTCATATGCTTGTGGAGCTTTGCGAGATGATTGGCAACGAAGAAGCAGGTGATTCCATTTACGACCTATTTCCAAAGCAGGATCGTTCTCACTCAGGGTACAGGGTCGGTCGTCTCCTCATGCATGACATCCAGCAACTCCGGGGTCCACTGACCTTCACAGAAGCAAGGCGCATGGTCTCATTGGCCAGACTTCACCTACAGGGGGAAGGTGTTGGTTCAGCCCAGCTCCCGATGTGAGCCCGTCTTGGTCAGAATTTTTTGGTGTTGTACTCACCAGATTACACCATGCAGCGAGATTGATTAGCTCTCCCCTTCCGGTGACTGAGTGGCTTACCGATCTCCTGGGATCTGTCAGATCTCATTGAAAAGAGGAAGGTCATTTTGCCGTGTCCTCAGCTTGGGATCTGGTGGTCTAACCAAGTCTCACACTGGAACGCCAATATCTTTACTTTACACTGGCTGAAACTGAGTACTGAACCTTACATAGACTTTCAAGGTGGCTACAATAAGCCAATCCCTTCAAGATTCCAGATATCTTACAATATTTTGGACGTTTGTAGTTTCTTCTGATCCCAATTATTACACTGCGGAAACGACTTTCTGGTCGGACACTAAACGGAGGAAAAAGCCAAGTTTAAACAGACTCAAAACGTACTTAGACACTGACCGAACACAAACCAGATGTGTCACAGATTCTGGATGCTCGGTGTGAAGCAACAAATGTAAATAGAGTCTTTTCAGACTTCGCGACCGCATCTTTCCTGACCCTCGTCCATACTCTTCAAACACTCACTGTCCCACCACTAACCTGATCCGTAAATCCATCCTTTCGACCTCTTTTGACGGTAGACTTGAATGAAAGTAGGTGTTTTTGAAAATATCTCCAAGTCCTCTCTATCTAGCATAGTACTCACGCTATCATGATGGTAGACCGCAACACGATCAAGCTTGAGCTACCTACGCAACTGAAAACTTTCAAATTCACTTTCGAGTGCAGAAAACCGGGACCCGTAGTGTTGAAATTTCAATGCGAAAGCCTCTCAAGCGGTCGAGGTCACAACCTAATACTTCGGAGGGTCCTGACGACAGCGAAACACGAACCGATAAGCCGGGAATCCTTACGCACTGGTTGGAGGTCCAGAATACGGTAACTTTTTCCCATGTTCATTGATCTGTGTTACTGAATAGACGTCAATTATGTCTAGTACCAGCAGCCGTCAAGGCAGGCGCCCAGGTGGACGACAGCGAAACCGAGCCAGAGTTGGAACCTGATACTAAAGATCTTGTGCATCAGCAAAACTGTCCCTCCGAGAGGTGAGTCACTTTATTTAACATTTTATGAGACATCTGCACTAGTACTCGCTTCCCTAATGTGCGCCGAATCATCCCGTGAGGTCTGCTGGTCGATGATGAAGTCTCGACTTATGCATGGAACCGAGTTTTATTATTATCACCTGCTTCAAGTTTCACTTACAAGCCCCCGTGCACTCACTGCAGTTAGACACAGACTGGAACAAATTTTGCATCGACAGTGGAATCAAATTTTCCGAGATCTCAAATGGTTCTCTGTTCGGTAACGGTTTGATAGCTATCAACACTTCTACTCGCTTCGCCTTGCCAAGCGACGGGTCTACACCACACAGCTCGAAGAAAATTGGGTGAATGAGAGGCTATTCAATATTATTTTGCGAGTCTTTGTTGATGTTCAAACAATTGCTGATTTACCTTCCAAGATTGGATGCTCGTTCGAAATGTTCGGGGTCGCAGCCTTCTTGGGAGGTTTGCCCTTGTCTGCACCTTCATTTTCGAGCTTCTCGATCTTCTTTTCCGCTGCGTCAAGACGCTCCAAGACTTTTTAAAGGGAGGCATTCATTATCGCATCTTGATTAGTATGCTGACTTGAGGTTTTAGTCGGTGCATTTGAGCTACGACCTGCGCAACCGTGGAATGCAGATTCGTGGATGGATCAGGCGAACCTCCGGCAATGTTAAACCCCATTGTTGTATGGTGTCCCTTGTGCTGATGATGTCCCTTGATACGGTGTTCCCTGGCCAGATTGATATGGTGTCCCTTGGCGATATTCTGACAACACCGACCTCCCATGTACCTGACGCCCGAACAAATACAGGCCATCATTAGTCTATCTACGGTGAGTATCTGGTGTTTTCTAGTAGAGCATTTAAATGGATTTACCATCACTTGTGGTCCACGGCTTGCATCCTGTTGTCCTGCGCTAAAATAAATAAAAAAATAAAAAAAAGGATCCATCTGCGGCAGCCCACCATTATTTTCGAGAGGGGAGAGCTGGGGTTGCAGAGGTGGCAGTACGAGTGGTGCCGCAAATGGTTCGTGTTGCTGCTGCCTTTGAGTTTCTTGACCTAACTGGCTATTAGGATCGCTGGGCCTTCTCTCTGTGTTCTGGGGCACACTAGTACTGCACCTCGCCATGGAGAACAGTTAGAAGAGCGAGGAGGACCTGGCATTTTTGGGATGTATGGAGGATCCATAGAAGCATGTAATCCTAAGCCATGTGAAAATAAATATCTCCGGGACTACTTTCTTGATAGAATGACGCGCAGTATAAGAAATACGACCAGACGTGATAATCCATCCAAAGTGTGATGTATGAATTGAGATTCCGGTGTGCCAAAATGCGGCACTAAACACATGCGTCAAATTTAGTGTCTTAGCACCGAAGACCTGCATGGTCAAGATCAGTGTTGTCACTAACCCGTTGAAAGAGTTATAACTTAACCTGGTTATAACGGGTGAAGAGGTTAGTTAAATGGATCTGTGATTTTCAGAGGGATAGTAGGGTTAGTTAATTGGGTTAAATGGGGAGTTGGAAAACTTTCAATTATTATCGTTGATCTCTCAGATTCTCTCTCTGCCATCCCCCGGAACTGTATTGCCTTCCAATTTCCAAAGCTTCTCCGATGGCTAGGGAGAAGTCCTGGATATGGGAACATTTCTATCAGGGGCCTATAAAGGTTGATAAAGTGCACTGGCAGGCACACTGTAAATGCTGTGTCAAGGTGAAGGCTAAGGGATCTCGGGAACGCTGATCAGCAGGTTGTTGCACATGGAATATTGCAGGCTGTCAGAAATCGTGCAATTTTGACGCAGGAAGGTGAGTCATTGCCAATTGATGTGTTACATAAATCATTTATGTCTCATTTTCGGCTGTCACATCGGGGTATTCAACATTTAGGACAGGTTTAAATGTTGTACGTATGAAACTTAAAGTTTTGCCCAAAAACCAACATTAAAACCTTGTCCCAAACATCGATAACCCCGATGTGTTGCGCTGCAGTTGTGGCAAGATGCCGACGACGACAATGACGATTACAAGTCTGGGTTAGGAGAAGTCATCGAAGCTGAGGAGAACATCTCATGCCCTGCAGAAGGTAGCAGGCCACGACAAATTCGCTGCTTCTTTGGTCAGAAGAGGATGTTTCGCATACGGGATATGTTCAATTGGTCTGTTGAGGTTGGATGGGACGAGTTTTTGTTCCAGGGCGTGAAAAACATGGAGAGTGAAGCATCATTCTACGAGCTAATGTCAAGCCTGCCCGAGGATGAAGAGTCGCACACTGGCGGGAATGCACCAGGGGAGTCATTGGGCATGGGAAGCGGTCCATCGAGCTCGAATATTCCAATTGTTATCGACGACTCGGACTAGCTAGTGCCTGGTAGCAATTAACTGTTATTTAACCCCATCAACCCCAGTTAATTCAAGGCAGGACGCACCAGTTACAACCCGGGGTTAAAAACAACACTGGTCAAGATCATCAACCTGCACTACCTCAACAACTTGAACACCTGCCTTATAATTTACACTAGCACTCGGGATTAAGAACCTATCATCATACCTTACTGTCACATAGTCAACTGTAGCATTACTTGCATATCTTCCCCCGCGCGCTTCTATCATTCTGTATAATTTTGCAAAATACGATGAAGATATCATCGTGCATCTCACTTGTGCGGAGTATGAAATAGTTCGACGGCAGGGTGTGACAGTGTGACAAAAACGGGAACTCTTGAGCTGGCTACATTCCTGTGTCGTTTGGAGAGTGAGAATGGGGTCCAAACTGTGGATATGCGACAGAAGGACGTTGTAATCCTCCGGACCCATTTTCAATGGGTTTGCTGACAGCAAGATGGTATAACAAGTTTGACATCACAGGCGAACCAGGAAAGGCTTCACGTCCGAAGCGCTCCCCCAGGTCTGGTATGGTCCTGTCGGCCCCATATCTCAGGGCGCAACTGACAGCATGATGGTATAACAAGTTTGACATCACAGGCGACCCAGGAAAGGCTTCACGTCCGAAGCGCTCCCCCAGGTCTGGTATGGTCATGTCGGCCCCATATCTCAGGGCGCAACTGACAGCATGATGGTATAACAAGTTTGACATCACAGGCGACCCAGGAAAGGCTTCACGTCCGAAGCGCTCCCACAGGTCTGGTATGGTCCTGTCGGCCCCATATCTCAGGGCGCAACTGACAGCATGATGGTATAACAAGTTTGACATTACAGGCGACCCAGGAAAGGCTTCACGTCCGAAGCGCTCCCCCAAGTCTGGTCCTGTCGGCCCCATATCTCAGGACACGACGGAGCGGACGATGGCGTGGGAGGTCTAAAAGAATGATATATACCTGTATTCAAACTCAGATTCAATCATAAGCATGTTTAAAGCTCCGTTTGAATAACTGCACAGGTGTTTTTCACGGTTGTCGCGAACATTTCCCAATTTACTATCGCACTCCTATGAAACTGAAAAGCGGAAGTGTTGTATAGAGTAATTTATGCGAGAGGTCCGCCAGTAAGGACCAGTCCTAACCACATCTCCGGAAAACGACGGAAATATAGGCAACAATATTCACGTAGATACGAGGACAAGGATGAGACTTATAGTAGATTTCTAGCGACTCACTTCAAGTGAGATATCGTAACATCGAGTGCGTTTGCGTAGTGTAGATTTTACAGCAATTTGCAAAATGGTTGGCAGTACCAGACGCGAGGAAAGACTTGAAATTATAAAATACTTCACACCAAATATGGTAATTATGATTCTCCTGAGTCCTGAGAGGCGCAGCTCAGCGGCGCGTCACTTCTTCTGTTAACCTTCACCAGTTCCCAATTCTCTGAGTCGCTCGAACATGCCGTTCCGCAAGATCAGTCGCGACGTGAAACTTGCTGCTATCAACCTCTATGAGCGGCAGCTTTGGTCTCTTGAGCAGATTCTGGCTTGTGTGGGCTTCTCTGAAAGAACTTTCTGGTGCATTTGCAAATTATGGAGAGAGACTGGCGACGTTATTCAGCACAACTACGGAATTTCTGGTCGGCCACGAACTTTACATTTCGACGATGTTCACTACCTCCTTCGACTTGTGCATCATAGACCTGACTGGTTCTTGGACGAGCTACTTGACCTACTCGACAACAACCGGCTTGTTGCTGTTCATTTCACTACAATCTACCGTGAACTTTCCCGAGCAGGAATTTCTCGCAAGAAACTGAAGAAGATTGCAAAAGAGCGAAACGAGAATCGACGGGCTGACTTCATCAGACGGATGGCACAGTATGACCCGGAAGAACTCGGATTCTTGGATGAGACATCCAAAGATGAGAGGACAACTTCAAGGAGGTTCGGGAGATCGAAGAAGGGAGAAAGAGCAGCGAAGAAGGGAGTCTTTGTGCGAGGACACCGCCTTTCTGCATTGGGCCTGCTCACCATCGACGGAATGATGGCATGTTCAGTAATTGAAGGTTCGTTCACCACGGAGAAGTTCAAGGCCTTCCTTCAGGAAGATGTTGTAAGTGCTATTCAGCCTCTGACTCAGAAGCATGAACTCGTCTGTTCGACCAGCTACCACTATGCTCTCCCTACCCTGGGAAGCTTAGTGTGCTTGTCATGGACAATGCAACATGCCACCATGATTATGGCATTGCAGATCTCGTATATGAAGCGGGTGAGTTCACATGTGTCACGTAATAGGCTCCATTGACACACCACATGGTTTTGAGGTGTACGGCTTGAATATCTTCCCCCGTACTCGCCTGACTTGAATCCGATTGAGGAAGCATTCTCCAAGATCAAGGCTTTTCATTCGTCGCAACCAGGATTACTTCTCAACAGAATTGGATGGGCTTATCTACAATATGTACATCGCAATGGACCAGATAATAGATTCAGATGCGCTTGGGTATGTTATGCACGCAGGGTACTTCTAGCACAATTCCTCTTGATTCGATACAATGATGTAGACTAGCAAAAGAGCACGAAGCAGATTACATGACAAAAAACATTCACTTGCACCAACGCTTCATGGCTGCACGCATCGCAGCAATCTCTCCCAGCTTGAACTCCATTTCCTTCAGCTCAGAGATGAGAATGTAACAGATAGTCTCCGTGCCTGTATACCCGTTCTGGTGTAGCTTCGTGCGGATATCGTTGCTGAGGGTATAATTGCTACAGAACTCGTTGAGGGAAAATGTTGGTCCATGAGGCACACCATAGGGAATCAGAGAGTCTTGTGATCGATCACCTTCAGTGCGTGATCCAGCAGGTGCAGGTTGAGGTATGTCGCTGTTCAGAACTGCAGGAGGGCGAAACACAGCGAGAAGCTCTGGCGGGATGTTGAAATTGATGACCGGACCATGAGGCTGATTTGCAGGCTGTGTGCGTTCAGCAAGGCGACGCTGAAGAAGAGAGGCAGTGCCCTTCTGCCCTGGAAGTGCATTGAACTTGGCGTGGTTCGGGGGAGTCTCGAGGTTTGCTTGTGCTTCATCTTTGTTCTGAGCGTGAAGTAAGCAAGTTATCATCTTGTAACAGTCTACAAGAATACCCATGCAGCTGCCCATACAGAAAGATGCTCACGTCCGAGCGGGAAGTGTTCAGGATGCTCGGTGTGGATGAAACAGAACTCGCTCGTACATCCAGGCTTCGAACACATCCACCGGTCGCGAAGTTGTTGAATCTTCGTGTCGATCTTGATATTCAAGTTTGTCTCTAGTACCTTGGCTTTTTCTTTTGCTGACTGTAGGTGAATCACTGCATGAGAACATTGGCAAGAAGGCGAAAAATATTTACGGTCTTCTTCGTCTTCTTTTTCGGCCTCCTGTCATCGTCGCTCTCATTCTCAGAACCTACATCATCCTCTCCGGAGCTTGTGTCTGTATCTTTGTTGCGACGGTTCTCCTTTCCTCGTTTTTTTTCTTCTGTGACACTTCTCAGCCAAGTATATTATGCGCATATATCCAGGAAAGATAACTGACCTTGTTCATGCGAACCTTGATGGTGATATTTGCCTGCGGCTCTTTGTGTTTCGTGGCGTGCTGAAGCAAAAAATTGTAATCGCTGTCCGAAGCAAGAGCCAAAGGAGATGGCTGGATCCGTGGTACAGTCCAGTCGATGTCGTAGTCGTCGTGTGAGATCTTGCTGGGGTTTAGTTTTGCCGAGATCTGAGTAAGTAACTGTGCCTTCAAAGTATCGAACGGCAAGTCGGCCGTTTGCTGCAAGAATGAATTGAGTGATTTCCTTTGTTTTTCTGCTTTGCGAAGCTCCGCCTCCGAGAAAATCGAGAGGTAATATGTCACTCGTGCGGGAGCGGGTGGGGCAGGTACATCTAAGCAATAATCAGCAGAGAGACATTCAAGATACACCAAGACTTCAAATTCAAATGCGAAGTTGAAGGGGAAAATGATGTTATGCACGCACCTGTCTCCTCTGTGGGTTTCTTCTTCCTCAGACAACCTGGGGCCTTGCGCTTTGCCGTGCCAGTTTCGCCAGAATTTATTGTACTTGCTGCTGGTTGTCCTCCACGTTCCATCCGCCAAGTGAGAGTCATACATTCCGCATCTTGAGCTTGAATGTTCGTGTTTGCTTTCGAGCTCGTGTCATGATCACTTGCGCTAGTGTCAGACAGAGCACCAGGATCGAAAATTGAGTCGTATGTTTGAGGCGCCATGGATGGTGAAGCCGGTGAAGGTTAACAGAAGAAGTGACGCGCCGTTGAGCCACGCCTCTCAGGACTCAGGAGAATCATAATTACCATATTTGGTGCGAAGTATTTTATAATTTCAAGTCTTTCCTCGCGTCTGGTACTGCCAACCATTTTGCAAATTGCTGTAGTATATTGTCGTAGCTCTCAATTGACTTTTTGCATATACGCACATCGACATGAATGGACCGAAAACAACGCATTGCGAAAACGTTATAAACACATTACACGATAATACACCCCATCCCCCGCCTGTACAACCGAATGCTATACCCGCTTCAACACATAGCTCTGTCAATGAACTTGGTGATGTTGCTGGCCCTGTTCACAGTCCACATTCCATCCTTGATCTACACAGGTCACGTTAGTGTATGCTCACCCCGTACTTACCAGCGTCAGCACCTCGATCTCGGTATTTCTACAACAATGTCAGCTAAAGTACAATAGAAACTATGAAACTTACCAATTAACTAATGATCTTGAGGCACCGATCCGGAAGTTTCTAGTGTAGTACCAAACAGTTGGTGAGTGAATCCAAAGACCAGACAGACACTGTACCTTCCATTCTTCGTTGTAGTAGCGGGCCGAGGAGCGGTCGTGGTTGACATAGTCCATTGGCTGCAAGAGAAAGTCGGGCGTCGGAAGGAGCCACCAGTGACAAGCAGAATTGATTAGTATTAGCACCCTTGAAGGATGGTCGAAGACGGCAGAGGGCAGAGATTTGACTGATGGGGAGGAGAAAAAAGTGGTAAGCCGTATACTGCCCTGCCGCCCCACCCTTCTGCTATAGACCCATGACTCGAAGAGCCAAGTGGATCTGCGTAGAGGAAGAACGACTATCTCAAGAGAACAGGATTCAGCGCTCAGCATCGTGAAAAGTTTCAAGGTTTAACAGACAGGTTGCTGTCCAGACTGATTGGTGATCACCCGGGGTACCCGGAGATTGATTAAGGTACACAGGGTAAGAGCAAGATAGTGTGAATGAGGGGTGAAGCAGAGAATCTTGACGTAGATGCACAAAATGTTGGCCCGCTGCAATACATACATACCCACGGCCTTTGTACATATATGGATAGTCCATGTGCACATGTAAACCACACGACTCTCACTTGGACCCAGAACGGAGTGAATACCCGCTTCCAAAGCTTTTCTCGTTTGTATTTTGCAAATATTTATCTCGTCTACTACGTAGCTCATCGAGTACTAGGAAGCCTCATCACAAGGCTCGACATTACATACGGGAGACCAGTGCCCCCTCGGCCAATTTTGCAGGACCGTAAGGAAATTTCGATCACTTGGCAAAAACACCCTCTATTGTCTGTAGAAACTGTGATCGCACCACCATGGATCGGACCAACCACTACAAGCCTCCAATACACCCCCAGTTAAATGCCAGCAATCACGTTTCTCCGAGTTGTCGTGTGTTAGCCGGTTTGACCTGGGTGTCACCTAATGCCTCGCTGGACCGGTTGGACTTGAACGCACTGCATCGGTGGACCGGTCCCAGAGCTGAAAGACCGGCGGTGCTGTTCGACAGCATGCAAAGTCCTGATTGGTATACCCGTACAAAACATTGGCATCCATGGATACCTCACGACCTAGCTGGGATTCGATGGCACCTAGGGCATGGTGACCCATCCCTGAGCTGGGATGATGAAGCTGGGGCAAAACAGGATCTTGTGGTCATGGTCAAAATCTTGGGTGCCATCTATCGGGGTCTCTGCCCTGAGGGCCCTAAACCTGATAATGCTTACCGCATTAGTGATCTGGATCTCAGTCTCCCACAGTCCCAGGATCAAGCTCGGAATTTCATGCTTTCCACTAGTGGTTATATCCGGTGGTTACTAGCACATCGTCATCATGACGTGGTTGAGTGCATGATTAGGTTAGTTAGGTTAGGTTAGGTTAGGTTAGGTGGTGTCGACACACGAGCGCGAAGCGCGAGTGTGGAGATGTGAAAGCTGTGAGAGGAGACTATTCGGTAGCAAGTTTGCCCTCGCTTTGGTGAGCAGAGGACGCTTTCGATGGTACTGGCCATCTCATCAGGCTGAATAGTAGTTTTTATACCTGTAACGCTGTAGATGTGAGTCTAGCAGCTAAGTTTGCTATCGTTTAGATAGTAAACATAGGAAGGATAAGGGTATATTAGTTCCCGGATCTATCTAGCGAATGAGACGCGTAGGATAGGCCAATTCCAGTCTTCCGCAGGAACAGACGAATAGATAGGGGCTTCTCATGGGACGCACAAGGGCAGAGATAAGATGTGAGATAAGATCACAGGGGTGCGTCACCTACAGCCGCCGAAAGCGGACCGCGCGCGGAGCGCGCGGGCGGCGTTCCGAAGGAGCGCCGCCGGCTTTAACATGACATGAGAAGATCCGAGGATCATAGTAACCGGATTAACGGTAATACCGAAACAATGGGACAAACGCAAAAAGTGACATGTGAAGTGTCACGCACCGAACGGGCGTTACCCGCGGAGCACGGAACTGTCAACAGTGGGAATCTGACGGAGCGCGCGGGCGGCGGAACGCCGCCTCCGCGTTTCCCGATCATGAGAGACAGTGAACTCAGGGGGCCGCGGGACGGCCCCCTATTTACTAGCAAAGTAAACATCCAGACGTATAAAAGGAACGCCGAATGGTGAACGGTGGTATAACTTAGTCAGACATGGCACGCTACCGCCAGTATCACAATACCACTTCACTCGATCAAACCAAGCCATGGGGCTATTCTCGGGGTCTGCAACTCGCTCGAGTCGAGCAGATCCGTCTTCGATCGCTCCGGATGCACCGGGACGAAAACGTTTATACCGGCGTTGGCACGCGCAAGCTTAGGCCGCGGCTTGACACCGCAACCGAGCGCGCGGGCTATACCGGTAAACGTACGTTCTGGCTGGAGGCACCATCCATCCTCCTAGCTAAGTATGATCCGGACAAACGCCTTGAGGCGTTCACCCGTGAGTGAATGTGGCTCTCACTTCTTGGACGAGACTAATAGACGACCTTCAGTCGCCAATGCATGCCGCCATCGTATGCCAGACACGTTGCTGCATCAGATCTGCACGTGGCGATACAAGGCGTGGTTGGTGCAGACGCAGGACTTACTGCCGCCGACCCAATGGTACCCGGGCATCGCTGCTCAGGGACCGGGCCGTCAGGCTGCCAGGTGGGCAATCCAACCTAAAAGGTGAGTTCTAGTGTTACCAACACTATTTTTTCCGTATTTTCGGTTTGTTAGTTTCGGTTAACTAATATACCTGTCCGATTAAGGACACGTATGACGCCAGAGCCGGAGTTATTCCGGCGGGCCGACTTGTCCCTGGATTCCGTTTCACGGGATTACAGGGAGGCGGTCACTGGTACGCCAATCCCAAACCAAGGTTTCTTTGCTTGGGATAATCAGTCGGTCCGCACCTGGAGAGGTGAGGAGGTGCAGCGGTATGTAAACCTGCTGACACATGAGGAGGCGGACTTGGAGCCCAGGTCTCTGGACGGCGAGGATAGGTGGTAGTACTATAGATAGCACTACCGTAGCCCAATCGTTTAACAAGCCGCGTTGGTTTCCCGTCGCACGAATGTAATCGAGTTGCGCCCCTATCGCCAGAGCCCCTAAGTGTCCAGTGTGAACGGTTACCCGTAAGGTAAAGGGGTTAGCTCTTAAAATAGATTAGAGTTAGAAGGTTAGCCCGGTTAGCCGTTAGACGTTAGGGTTAAGCTACGGGTGGCAATCAGCAAAACATCATCTCCTCGCGGAGTTGATTGCCACGCACGTTAAGTTAGGTCAAAGATTGCTTGATGAATAACAATCTTCTCCATGACTCCAACTTATCGAACAATAATAAGTCCTGTACTGGCATCAGTACTGCAAATCCTTCCAAGGGATTACATGCTCGTCGTCATTCAAGAAGTACTCAGCTTCGTTCTCGAATGAATCGCGCATTTGACTTTTCTTCCACGTGTTGTAGAGGTCGCCTAACGCACGAGTGCGCTTCTTGCTTACAACACCTCGTCTTCCAGGGATGTCGGACAGTCTAATGTCTTCCATCAATTCCTGTACGAAGACCGGGATATCTCCAGGTTTGTTACATACCCAGTAACGCGCCCATCGACACAACGGCTGTTGGGGATCCAACGGTAATCGGGGTAGATCCGGGTCGCTACTTCGACAGCTCCAACTGAAATCCCCTTGGCTACCAAGGGGCACATCGATCGCCTCATCAAGGTTTCCCGAAGACGCATCATCTCGAGTGATTGCGGGCACAAGAGCGTGGTACAACGGTAATACCGAGCCGGGCAAGGGATGACCAGAGGGAGGGGCAGGATTAGATACACTACCCATGTGTCCGTGCAGAGCACTTTCACTGTCGTCAGAGGAGGGTGAAGCCCTCCCCGTACGCTGTCTTTTCAACGGTGGAGCACCGGAACGAGAGCCAACGTTCCCCTGAATAGCCATCTGCCCGTTCAGTCCGGGCCGCGGAGGCCTAATGTCAGGGGTGAGGGAACGAAGGCGCGATGGCCCAGCCACCCCAGCTTGCGCGAGGGGTATAGGCCGGGCACGTTTGACGCTAGCCCGTGCTAGTGCATCGGATAAGCTCAGCTGGACATAGTCCCGCTGTTGTTGTGAAGATGTTGGAGTTTCCGCCATATCTGGGTCCACAATGTCAGCTGCTCTCGCAGTGATGACATGTCGGAACTTTCGACGGTTAAACCAAACGTCTGCGTTAGCAGAGATTTCAGGAGGCATTCTGACGGTGATCGAATTATGTAGGCTGCACCGTCCTTGGAGGTCACACCACGCGATAGCGTTAAGGTGAGTTTCCCAAGATGTCCTGATAGAAGTCAACATGCCGTGCACGTCGAACTGATCCCAAACGGGATTGAACTCGGTTTTTAGGACTAAGAGATTAACCGGGGTGATCTTCTGCAATTCTTTGCGAGAAGGTGCCAGACGATCTTTCCATCTCTTTTCGGAGTTGTCCTTAATCCACCTGTTCAACAAGGCTGAGGGATAACCGCGGGCCTCGTACATTAATACGATGTCCGCAAGTGCCTGTTTGTAGTGTTCTACACGACTACTCAGGGTTGCTAGCCTTGACATTTCACTAATAAATGCCCCTTTCTTGACATCTTTAGGGTGATTTGTCACGTAAGGGATCCGTTCGTGATGGTTCAGTGCTTTGCGATAGGGGCGCCATTCAACGGTGGGGGATCTAGATCCCTTGCCCGCGATGTACACCCACATGTCCAGAAATGGTGCGTTCCATTCCGACACTGACCAATCCATTTGTAGTTCGTCATGAAACGATACAAAATTCAAACGTTCTAAGGCTTGTTCTTTTGAGTCTGCATATACAAGCGCAAAGACGTCATCCAGATACCGTCCGTAGAAAGGGATGTGGGGATGAACGGTATTGGGTGGAAACCAGACCTTTTCCGATATCGCGGCATACAGTTGAGCAATATCAGGGCTGCATGCTGCACCCATCGGGAGGCCGCGTAGTTGTTTGTACGCATGGTTACCAAATTTAACGAAGAGAGGTTTTAACACTCCAATCTGAAAACAGGAGAGCACTACGTGCTTCTCATAAGGGCTCAGAGATTGGAAGTGCGCAGTCTTTTGCCACTCGCGTAATACTTTGAGTGCCGCAGAGGGATGCGGGATATTCGGGTAATATGCAATAATATCACCCGTCACAATCCAGACCTTTCGGTCCGAATGCAACTTCACTTCGGAAAGCCGACGAGCCATGTCCTTCGATCCCTGAATGATCGTAGCATAGAGTTCGTACATCGGTTTCAAATATTTTGAAACAACTTTCGCCGCAGGTGCCTGCATGATACTGTGGCACGGAACGATGGGCCTATAACCTGTTGGTTTCTTATGTATTTTAGGAATGACGTAGAATTCCGGCAATACAGGCCAAGCACCATCTTTCTTGGGCATTTTAGAACGCAAAAATGCGAATAGTTGTTCCCATTCGTCTTTCATAGATATGCCACCGAATCGCTTTATTGTCAGCTTTTCGATAGAGTCTCTAACATCGACGACATAATCCTCGAGCTCTTGGTAAGTAGCCAACTTGTAGTTACTCTGATCGCCAAGTAGAGTTCGAGCTCCCATAATGAGCCACTCCCGGGTGACTACTGCCGTTCCCAGATTTTTATCTGTTCCGGTGACTACATATTTATGTAGATCGAGATATTCCTTGAGTTCGACCACTTTTACCAGACCCGAGTCTTTGGCAAAGTGTTTTAAACGTGTCTCAACGTGCGCAACATAGGTCTCGCAAAATCGTTCTCCAGCGTTTAAGCCGTCAAGGATGTAATCAGGCAGTCCGTCAGGAAAATTATCCTTAGGAATTTTTAGATCATAGTCAGGGTCATAGGGGTGTTTTTTGTCACTTTCATTTGATCCGATGAAGTTAATTCTCCATGCAAGACGACGTTTGAAGTCAAACCAAGCGTCCATGATAAGGTTGACAGAGGGTTTATTGTACAACAAATAGCGTCCAGAACTACTGAGGATGTTCGCTAGATGATCGGGGATATGTACATTGGGACCTATATGACACATCGATAAAAATCGTCTGGCTCGTAGATAATTTTCATTTATCGTACTAGAGAGCCAGCGTATCGCTAAACTTCGGTGGAGGTTTAGTAAAGTGTCTGGGTAGCTATCGGGGGCATCGTACCGAAATATATCGGCGATCAATAGTGCCTCGAGCACCGCTACTTTTGCGGTTGCTTTCCCGACTTCTTCGAGGAGGGCTTTCCCTTCTTTGGGCCCTTTGAAGATGAGTTTCCATTGGGTTTTCCTTTGCCAGCCTTCTTTGGCTTCGAGGATTTCTTCGCCGCGTTCTTCGCGGCGTGCTTCTTCTTCGTCCTTTGCCCATTCCCTGAAGAACCATTGTTCTTCTTGGGCTTTTTGGGACGTTGGGAAGGTTTCTTCCCTTTCGAGTTGGATCCTTTCGAAGAATTGACATTCATCTAGGGATAAAGGGACATGAGCAAGCAACTCATGACGCGACGCCATAACAAAGTGAAATGCAAGCGTAATCGCGTAATCAATGAAAACAGTGTTAACCGTGAATAAGGCATGTAGCGAGTCAAAGTTGGGGGGGAGGATCATGCGGTGATCGCGCACCTTTTTCATCCTACGCATGACTTCACGATAAGCACGGTCTGCGACCGCTTTGCTTTCAACTTCGGGGTTGCCACCACCGTCGTTTTCGTCGTCTCGCAACTTAACAGCCTTTTCTTTACGAAAGTCCTTAGCTTCACAATCATTTCGCGCGATTTGAATTGCTCTAGCACATATCGTAGGTATGTCGTCTTTAAGACGATCAAACTCTGATGTGATGAAGGGGAGTTCCCGTTTCAAGTATTGAGGGACGGGTCTTCCGTGATCATCCATGATTTGGTCTTCCCCTTGTCCGGGTGCAACCCATTTAGGATTCTCATAAATCTCTTGTCCTGTGAGAGCAACGACTGCTCGACGATTGTCAAGACAGCCGGCAATACGAGGGAGATACACTTCAGCACTGATGCAGTTATGAAGGAACGCAAGTTCGATCGATTTCGTGTTGATAAAACCTTCTAACGCACTAAGGCGCCAGTCTGAGAAGGTTTTATCACCCGCTGCTATGAGGGTTTTACACGCTGCATCCACAGCAAATTCTGCTGTAAGCGGAATAGCCGGAGGACGGTAGCTGGCCAAAGAAGCAGGCCAGGAACCGTTTGCCTTGTGGTGGTTCAGCCCATCGAGGGTTCTCTGAACACCATGGACTTTCCCCACAATAGAGTGGAGTCCGGTGAGCTCAGTCCATAGGACCTGAGCATAATTGCCTGGGAGGCAACGTCTAAGTTCCGCAAGTGTTTTGACTGCGGAGATGGCTGACAGGCGTTTAGACATTTCCTCCATATGAGAGTTAATGTTTAAAGCCATTTCTGGCGCTGTGCTGCCACCCCGGTTGAATCTTAGAGACGACATATCAGTAAGGTGGAGAGATGGTCTGGGGACTTATCGCTTTGTTGAAGATAGGTTAGGTGGTGTCGACACACGAGCGCGAAGCGCGAGTGTGGAGATGTGAAAGCTGTGAGAGGAGACTATTCGGTAGCAAGTTTGCCCTCGCTTTGGTGAGCAGAGGACGCTTTCGATGGTACTGGCCATCTCATCAGGCTGAATAGTAGTTTTTATACCTGTAACGCTGTAGATGTGAGTCTAGCAGCTAAGTTTGCTATCGTTTAGATAGTAAACATAGGAAGGATAAGGGTATATTAGTTCCCGGATCTATCTAGCGAATGAGACGCGTAGGATAGGCCAATTCCAGTCTTCCGCAGGAACAGACGAATAGATAGGGGCTTCTCATGGGACGCACAAGGGCAGAGATAAGATGTGAGATAAGATCACAGGGGTGCGTCACCTACAGCCGCCGAAAGCGGACCGCGCGCGGAGCGCGCGGGCGGCGTTCCGAAGGAGCGCCGCCGGCTTTAACATGACATGAGAAGATCCGAGGATCATAGTAACCGGATTAACGGTAATACCGAAACAATGGGACAAACGCAAAAAGTGACATGTGAAGTGTCACGCACCGAACGGGCGTTACCCGCGGAGCACGGAACTGTCAACAGTGGGAATCTGACGGAGCGCGCGGGCGGCGGAACGCCGCCTCCGCGTTTCCCGATCATGAGAGACAGTGAACTCAGGGGGCCGCGGGACGGCCCCCTATTTACTAGCAAAGTAAACATCCAGACGTATAAAAGGAACGCCGAATGGTGAACGGTGGTATAACTTAGTCAGACATGGCACGCTACCGCCAGTATCACAATACCACTTCACTCGATCAAACCAAGCCATGGGGCTATTCTCGGGGTCTGCAACTCGCTCGAGTCGAGCAGATCCGTCTTCGATCGCTCCGGATGCACCGGGACGAAAACGTTTATACCGGCGTTGGCACGCGCAAGCTTAGGCCGCGGCTTGACACCGCAACCGAGCGCGCGGGCTATACCGGTAAACGTACGTTCTGGCTGGAGGCACCATCCATCCTCCTAGCTAAGTATGATCCGGACAAACGCCTTGAGGCGTTCACCCGTGAGTGAATGTGGCTCTCACTTCTTGGACGAGACTAATAGACGACCTTCAGTTGCCAATGCATGCCGCCATCGTATGCCAGACACGTTGCTGCATCAGATCTGCACGTGGCGATACAAGGCGTGGTTGGTGCAGACGCAGGACTTACTGCCGCCGACCCAATGGTACCCGGGCATCGCTGCTCAGGGACCGGGCCGTCAGGCTGCCAGGTGGGCAATCCAACCTAAAAGGTGAGTTCTAGTGTTACCAACACTATTTTTTCCGTATTTTCGGTTTGTTAGTTTCGGTTAACTAATATACCTGTCCGATTAAGGACACGTATGACGCCAGAGCCGGAGTTATTCCGGCGGGCCGACTTGTCCCTGGATTCCGTTTCACGGGATTACAGGGAGGCGGTCACTGGTACGCCAATCCCAAACCAAGGTTTCTTTGCTTGGGATAATCAGTCGGTCCGCACCTGGAGAGGTGAGGAGGTGCAGCGGTATGTAAACCTGCTGACACATGAGGAGGCGGACTTGGAGCCCAGGTCTCTGGACGGCGAGGATAGGTGGTAGTACTATAGATAGCACTACCGTAGCCCAATCGTTTAACAAGCCGCGTTGGTTTCCCGTCGCACGAATGTAATCGAGTTGCGCCCCTATCGCCAGAGCCCCTAAGTGTCCAGTGTGAACGGTTACCCGTAAGGTAAAGGGGTTAGCTCTTAAAATAGATTAGAGTTAGAAGGTTAGCAGGTTAGTTAGGTTAGGTTAGGTTAGGTTAGGTTAGGTTAGTTAGGTTAGGTTAGGTTAGGTTAGGTTAGGTTAGGTTAGGTTAGGTTAGGTTAGGTTAGGTTAGGTAGGTTTA